TGTTATGGAATTTTAAGTTTCAGGACTTGGATTCATTTTGAATTTAATAATCCGTTTTCTGAAACGTTTCCCCTTTCTCTTTCTACCGTAAACTTGTCTCTAACTTTATCAAATCGTACTTTTTTCTGATTCTATGAGGATTCACAAAGGTCAGCGAAAGATACAAAAGTAGACGTATCGATCAAAAATAGAGACAAGTTTACGGTAGAAAGGGGAAAGGGACATGTTTTAGAAGGCAATCAAAATATAGACTGCAAATCTTCACCAAATGTTCGATGGTGGAGCCGACCCGGAAAACTCGAGCTCACTTTCTTCAGCAATGAAGAATTCTTCACTCGGGGCTCCACTGTCAATTTCTCTTCTTTCTAAAAGAAACTTTTTGGAATTTGTGCGTTCCGACCCAGCCAAACGGTTTCTATCTACCAATTCTAACAGCATCGATACGTATCAATACTGATACGTACCGATACTTCTTCTGCTTCTGAAGGCAATCAGGTAATAGAATAGTAATCAGGCATATGGATTACGGTAACATCTCGGCTGCCCTAACCCCGAATACGGATGCGAATTACGGGCTACAGTAATGGGGGCATGCTTTAACCCATTAAGGCTAGGGACTACGGTAGCAGGTCTAAGGATTACAAGCCAGGATAAGTTTTAGGCAATCAGGGAACGTTGTTGTAATCAAAATCTAGACCCATTCACAACTCACTTACCCATTTCATCTTCCGCGGAAAGCCGATTGTTTGTGTCACCCATGGTTGACCTAAATACCGATTTCAATCAATATTCCAATCCTTCTTGCGCAAGAAATTGTAAACTGACGAGTCATCATTGCATGATTAACTGATAAGCAATCCCAATCAAGTTAAAAAATTAAGGCAATCTTTAAAAGTAAAATTTTGCGAAAGTATCGATTCGGGAATGAATGAATCAGCGCCCTTTTTTGAAGTCAAGACTTATCAGTAGAGGCAGCATGGGTGGGGCATTTTCGAAAGCCTCCCGCATCATAAACAGAAAGGATCCTTTCTCCGATAAAATAAAGTAATAAAAGAAATGAAAAGGTAAAGAAATTTTTTAATTTTTAATTTGCGGAAGGTGACATAAGCGCCAAAAATTGGGCGCCGTTCATTTGGGCTCCGTCCATTTCAGCGCGGTTCATTTCAGCGCGGCTCATGTCAGCGCGGCTCATTTCAGCGCCGCGCCAAAAATGATTGAAGAACGTTCATTTCAGCGCGGAATCAGCCCTTTACGTGTATACTTGTTTTTTGCATGATTTCAAGAATTTTACTGCACGTTTTTACTCAATTAGTTAACACGCAATAACAATAACAACAAAATACGCATGATAAAGAAGAAATGCGCAAAAGCAAAACAAACAAATCACATAAAATTAACAAAAGAACACAAGGCTTTCAGATGATCAAACGGTGATTTTTCCCAAGGGTCCATATTTGAATCGCCAGCTTCTGTCTTTGATGAGCAGTTCGAATTCGTGATGACTGTGGAGAGAGTTGAGGAAGAGACAAATGCTTTTGTGCAAATACAAAAACCTTGAGTATTTTCCTATTGTCGATCAAAAACGAGCACAATTGTCATGGTGCAGAAACGGGACACCTAAAGTTTAAGTAACATGTATCAAGATATATCAGTATCGTTGTATCGGTGTAGACCAATCCTTCGAGCCAGAGATTTTTACCTGTCGGCAAGCCAATTGCTTCAAACTACCAAGATTCACTGGTGTACAAGAAACGGTGAAAAAACATTCTATTGGGAGAAGATATCATAAAACTAGCAAATTTACACATTTACATCAAAAAAAACCTTAAATACGAGCTAACAAATCTAACAGATGCCTACTGCCGTGCCCTAAAACAAATGGGTAAAAAAAGGGAAAAAAAGAAGTAAAACCCTAAAAAAACATGCAAAAGCAGTGTAGAAAGCAAAAATATTAAAATCTAGTCGCGCTGAAATGGACGTTTTCCAGTCATTTTTGGCGCGGCGCTGAAATAAGCGCGCGCCGAACCGTTGACGCTCAAAAGAACGGCGCTCAATTTTTGCGCCCATATGACTACCTCCTCCTGAAACAACACCACAGACCGTTCTAGAACTACCGTATTGCTCTAGTTCGAATACTATAATCGGGGCGTTTTATACCGGGTCAATTCTAGTTTTTTGAGCCCAATAGCTTTTGTTACTGTTTCTGTCTTTTAGTTTTCACTACCGGGATTACGGTAGCTTTTGGATTCCTACAACGGATAGATTTTTAAAAAGTTGGCTTTGGGAAACATTTGCTGGATATAGGGTATTCAGTCAAAAAAAAAAAAAATAATTATAAAAATAATTATAAAAATAAAGTAAAAAAATATTCAGTCAAAAAATATTTGCTCAAATTTGTCCAAAATGATTTCCTAGAGGCAATCAAACCTCAGAATTTACCTATCTACGGTAACCCGGCCTTCAATGTACATGTGAAAACAAAGAACTAGGAAATCTCCATTCAAACGACTTCTTGTTCTTCCCCCCATGGGATTTCAAACTTGTTCCAATCAATTATTTTTAAGTGGGCTTTTCAAATTTCATTTCTTTGCAATTTGGCTTATCGTGAAGAAATCATGTCTCCAGGGAAATTTAAGAATTGGGCTCAAAATCGAGCTTAATTATGAGTGCTACTGAGCCGTCGAGTACTTCAAGCATGAATGAAAATCATGCGCTCTTGATCAAAGTTTGACTTTCGTAAGTACTAAGTGCTAAAGTGAGTTTGGGCATTGGGCCATGCGTTCGTCTATTGTAAACGCGCCCTTTCTGGCGCACTGAATTTCTCATTTTTCTCGCATCAACAGGTTGTTGCTGCAAAAAAATGACGAATTTGGGGCATCAGAAAGGATGTGTTTATAGTAGTCGAGCACAAAGAACATGATCAAAAAAGGCGCAGTAACCCTAGCCTTCAGTGAGCTGTGCTGCTCTCGACCAAACCGTTTCCTAAAACATGTCTCTTTCCCCTTTCTACCGTAAGCTTGTCTCTTTTTTATCTAATCTATCCATTTTTTCGTATCTTTCGACATCCTTTGTGAACCCTCACAGAACCAGACAAAAAGTAGGATTGGATAAAGTTACGGTAGAAAGAGTACAGGAGCACGTTTTAGAAAACGCATTAATGGACAGTAGCAAACCCAGTCAGGGTTATTTTACTTTTTTTGAAAATAACCCAGCAATCAAGCAAGCCAAAAATGAAAACTTTTTCTCTCAAAAACAAACCCAAACCCTTTATCAAGGGTTTCTATTTTTACTCTCGAGTGTTCTCGACTCTCCTCCTCCCCCCTTTTTTTCCACATGTTGTACTCCACTTGATCTTTCCATCATCCTCTTCAATTTCATAACTTTTTCTCGACCTCCCATCATCAATTTAGCCCACTTTTCTATATCAAATGACAGCTTGTTGGCTAAAAATATAGCACTTTTGTCTATTACCCCATGACAAAAATGATGGATTCATTCTCTAATCGGTCGCCTATTTTGGGGTAGCTTTGGGTTGAGGTGTTTTGTTGTTCCTGATCGAATCGCAAGGAAAATGAAGATATTGAATATGCATCTTGCATAGGTTACAAACAAGATTTCTTTGAGTGTTTGGATCCTGTTCCAGTCTTTGCTCACACCAAGAGACAAGACGCTCGAATCAGATCGCATTATTCTCGCAATTTAGCTGCGAGTAACACAATGGTTTAACGGGGTGAAGAATTTGTAGGGAAAATACAGGAAAATTTGAAGCAAAAATTTATCCCAGGAATTTGGGCACAGTGACGCCCAAAACGACACAGTCGGCTCAGTCGCTCACCGCTCCTTCCAAAAGGGCTCCAAAAGGGAACACGGAAAGGTGTGCCAAAAGGTGAGCGATTACGTGGCTACAGAAAGGACACCTTGCCAGTAATTTACATAGGGATTCTTCTTTGGCTTTGTAGATGGCACAAAAAGAAGACATTCAGCTGTAAATTTGTGCCTGGGGGTTTTCGGAGAATCGATTGGAGATATTCATTTTATTAAGTCTACGAATTAGAACCAACCAAATATATAATTTGAAAGCTGACTTTTTTCAAGATAGGCTGATAAATTTCGTAGTCACTAAACGTGAGTAGATTCCTCAAACATCTTTGGGTTGAATAAGGAGTGAGCTTTTCAGAAAGATGATCGATGCTTGAAAGAAAGTTGCTAGAGTTGGCATAAGAAATAGTTACAGTACTTTGGGATAAATCTAGAGTAAAGAGAAAGCAAAAAAGCTTCAAGGATCTCTAAAAAGAGAATGACTCCAACCAGAAGTTCGGAATCGCTTCGCGAGACGGTGGATCTTACAGAATCGAGCATGGAAATCACGAATACGTAAAAAATTTTTGTAAAAGGCCCTACGAACGCGGGATATTTGCCTTGAAAGTTTCTAGGGTCCACTTTTAAGCGCTCTTGGAGCGGCAGAAAGTGTCTCCGGCGGCGCAGTCGATTAGAGTCCGGCATCCAAACCCAGGGCTCTCAGGTTTGTGTCCCGACAATTTTTTTGGCCTTTTTGAAAAGTTGCGGTAAAAAAAGTTGTACGAGTAGTGGCATCAAAAAATAACTTGATCCGCAGCTCGACGGTTTTGCCCATGCTTTTTGCTTTTTGCTTTTCGCTGTTATTTCCGAACCAACCAGCAAATTGCCTTAAAAAGGCTACTTCTCTGATAATCTTGTTATTGAAGTTGTAAAGTCACACATGATGGGAATCGTTCTCATGGAAAAGTTCTCTAAAAGTTGTGTTTTTATAACTTTGCATGGATATTATATTTGAGTTAATTTTGATATCATTAGCAGTGGGATTGGATCGCAAAAGTGCTGAATGAGTGCCGCTGGGGATTCTTTTTTTAGATAATTTTCTGATAAATAAAATCTATCTAAATACCTATTATCTAGATCTTTATTATTTAATTTTTAGAGCTGATTACCTCTTCGTTGGTGGTCACTACCCGGTCTTCTCGATGTCAAGTCACGGGCCGACTCAGGTTTGTTTTAAAGGAAAACTTTGATATTTAGATATAATTAGCATAAAATATAATACTATTCTACTTGAATTTTTAAAAACATAAGACTTTTTATCATTTCAGTGCCTCGTGGATCGGTTGAAGCCACTTCTCGAGCAATTCTCAGCCACCGCCTACTTCGCCGGCCATGATCACACGTTGCAAGTGAGAAAAAATATCTTAATATCTAAAATAGGTCCCGGGTTAAGGTAGCCGGTTAAGGGGTACGGTAGCATCTATCTTTGCGGTTGGGGATTACGTTAACCGGCTAACAAATCTACTACGGCTTGGGGTACGGTCCATCTATCACAGGTTAAGAGGTACGGTAACAATTTATCACGGTTTACGAGTTACGGTAACTTATATAATATTACGGCTTACGGGTTACGGTGACCAGGGCTGCTGCAAAACCGCGATACTCACCCAAGCCTGTAACTGATCATATAAAAGGGAGATGTGAAAGGCGAAGAGTACAGTTTTTTCTGAAGCCAAGCTTGAACACTCAAAATATGCTCAAACGCTTTCTATTCTTAACGGGTCTCCTCGTTGGGGTATTTGCGGTAAGTTCCTCAGCTGGCTTTTCTTTGCATATATAGTGGGGCATAAATAGCGTTGCCCTTGGTGCATCTTTTTGGCTTTCTATGACAATATATTGATCTAAGCTCAAAAACAACAATTAATCATAAAATCTACGTGTAATTTTACATAGAATTCGACTAACCATAACATCTTTAATTTTCAAGCTTTGACAACGCTAGCCGAGCAGTACAAAAAATGCTATACGGCACGATTTTAAAAAGCCGCTAAATTCGAGTATGGGGCTTCTAATAAACCGTCTTTTTTGCATTAATACGTTTTTAGAGTTAATTACTATAAAACTAAGTGCTTTTTTTGAGCTCCATTATTGCAAACGCGAGGTTATCTTGACTAACACATTTTTGACAAACTGATTTTTTCGAGAACAACAATCGAGTCTTATATGAAACGAATGAAGTTTTAAATTTTTACACAAACTCATCAATCTAGTGGCGAAATGTACGTAGATTATAAATATCTAAACGAGGAAACCGTCAACTCTATTGGTTTTTGAGAAAATTATACTTTTGTAGAGCGCAACACTATATGCCGTCCACTGTCAAGTTTACTCGAGTTCTCAAAACCTTTCAAAGTCTTGATTTGATAGTTTAGCTGATGAAATTGTTTAGACTGACAAATGTTCCGACAACTTGTCCAGATGGATGGTACTACTCACAAACGCTCAACAATTGCTACAAAGTTTGACTAGTAATAATTCATTTTCCAATGACTAAATAGGCCGTGACTCAACCTGGTGGTTTCACCTTTGCTGAAGCTGATGCCACGTGCAAATCGGCTGGCGGTCAATTGACTTCGATCCATTCTGCTGAGGAAGATAGAATTGGGCTTGGTTTGGATTTAAATTTTTTGTTTGGAATTATCTTTTCTAGGACTCGGAGCCATGCCTGGAACAGTTACTCGGCTCCAGACACTCATCGATGGATTTAGAGTAAGACAATCATCGTGCTGATTGAAGTCAATATTGTTATCCTTTGAACCAGGCCCGTAGCCAGGATTTCGCGTCTTTCAGTCTAACGACCTTTTCTGAAAAATGGTTGTCCATCTAGTTTTCGAGATTCTCGAGATTTTTCATTTTTTGTTTTTCAATTTTTGACTGCGAAAATCTCGAAAACTAGATGGACAACCATTTTTGATGTTGAGCTTTTTCTCTACTTTCTGAAAATCATAACGTTAGTTTTGTAAAATCAATTATTGATGCCTAAAAACACATTTTACCGAAGTTTTGTACTAAAATGCAAAAATCTCGCCCCTTGAATTTTTTCAAAAATCTTTAGACAGTTTTGTAGCCTGAAGTTTTTAAAATATATATATATATCTTGGTCAGAAATTGATTGGGGATAGCCTCGAGGAGCTCGGGTCGTGAGACTGAAAGTTGCAAAATCCTGGCTACGGGTTTGCTTTCAGCCAAATGGAACCTGGACATGGAGTGATGGAACCCCATTTGACTACAAGAACTTTGCTAACACTGATGATGCAAAACAATGTCTTCAAGTATTTTATCAAGCTAAATTATCTAAAAATCAATTCCTATAGTTGTGGTCAACCAACTCGACAGCCATTCATCCGGTCAACGAATACAAGCAATGGGATGATATTCCGTGCACTGCCAAATTCGTAAACGCTGTGTGCAAAATATCTCTTGGTGGAAATCAAGGACAAGCATCAACCCCAGCTCCTGTCCAACCCTCAGCCCCTCCAGCTCCAACTTGCCCACCTACCTGGTATTATGCTCAAAATCTTGGCAATTGCTACAAGGTAATTGACTCATTACTGAGAAATCTTTATTTATGATAGGAAATGATAATAAGTCTATCACACGATCACAAATCACAAATCACAAATCCATAAAACATTTCTAGACCGTGACTCAACCTGGTGGTTTCACCTTTGCTGAAGCTGATGCCACATGCAAATCGGCTGGCGGTCAATTGACTTCGATCCATTCTGCTGAGGAAGATAGAATTGTCCTCGGTTTTTAACTCTTACATTTCGAGATAGAAAGCAAATTTAGAGCTCTCGGCTGCACCTGGAACAGTTACTCGAGGCCAGACACTCATCGGTGGGCAAAGGGTATGAATGCTAGGTCTTTATCTCAAACGACTCTAATTTAGCCAAACGGAGCCTGGACATGGAGTGATGGAACCCCATTTGACTACAAGAACTTTGCTAACATTGATGATGCAAAACAATGTATTTTATCAAGCTAAAGTATCTAAAAATCAATTCCTATAGTTGTGGTCAACCAACTCAACAGCCATTCATCCGGTCAACGAATACAAGCAATGGGATGATATTCCGTGTACTGGCAAATGCGTAAACGCTGTGTGCAAGATTGTTCAAGAACCAACAACTCCACCTCCTCCACAACCTACAAAAGCACCATATTGCTCGGCGGGCTGGAGTGGGCCGGCTTTCGATAGTTGCTACAAGGTAGTACAAGTCTCACAATAATAATTTGTGTGACTTGATAGAGACAGAATCGATCTGAACTCTAAATTCAGGTGATCACTCAAACTGGAGGCTTTACATTTGATCAAGGAGACCAAAAGTGTAAAGAATTGGGCGGGCAACTTGCTTCAATCCACTCAGCTGCCGAGGACAAGTACATGATGGGTTTGAAAAGCTTTTGCAGGATTTTTGTAATCACTTAATTTTCAGAACTCTCCAATCAAGGCAAACCAATTGGTGACATTCAGACGTTGATCGGCGGACAAAGGGTAGCTTTCGCAACAGAATTCTGAATCTCAAACGAATTTAAGACTGGACCAAATGCAGGAGACTGGAAATGGAGTGACAATACCCCGTGGGATTACACAAACTGGAGTGCCTGAAACGTTCTATGATTACAATTTTTTTGAATGACCAGCTGATGGGATGCTAGACTTTTAGGCAAATTTGAGTAGAAGTCAATCGGTTCCAAATATCAAATATTCAAGTCTTTTACTCACGTTTACCTTCAGATCCTGAGCTCTCAATTCGGCGAAAATCCACCATGGTGGTTCCAATTCCAAACCTGGGATGATCTCCAATGCAACATTGGATATCAAGTGGCTGTTTGCAAGAAGCCCCAGCAGCTCTAATTGGATCCAGAGAGAAATTGTTGAAATAAAATAGTTTGTTTACATTTTTATTTCACGACACACGCATCTAATAGTAAGCGATACAAAAGTGTCTTTTCTATCGTAATACTGACCAAAGCCTTCGCGAAAACCCCGATGGTAGTGTTTGCGGATTTCGCGAGTTACCTAACCAATGTGGCCGCTGGCCAATATTACTTTCAAATAATTATTTTATTCGCTTTAGTTTTAAGTGAAACGCGTTTAGAACTCTTTCAAATTCGAAAATTGTCCAGCCCCTTGCTGCCCCGATTCGTGCATTGGCAATTGTTACTCCGGAAAGTGCCCGTACTGGTGTGCTCAGCCAAGCAACTGTTGCTGATCAAATGCGGATCCATCCAATCAACCTTTTGTAAAAATTTTCACATTTAGCCGCATTTCCAGTTCAATAAAGTAAACACTTCGAAACTATCATTTTTTTCATTTCATCTACAATTTGAAGTATTGCGTTGAGACAAGGAAGCAATGGCCTGACGCGTGGACACTTTTGGACCAAGCCACTTCTCGACAATGGCTATATAAAAGCTTTTGAGACTTTACAAAGAGCACTGACCAGGAACTCTTAACCATTTGCTCAGCTTCCACAAAGCTCTTTTGAGATGCACACGATACGGCCGATACAACAATAGTAGTGCTATAGTATTTGCAAGGCCATGTTGGGAAATACACAGGATGATTATTAGGCAATATTCTGGAAAATATTCCAAGTTTTAGACAGAACACATTTTTTTTGCAAACTTTGGTTGTTTTTAAAACATTCAGGACGAGATTTTTTTGATTTTTGCCTAACAAGGAAAGGTCAAATAGCATGTGATCGGTACCACTCGAATTTCACGCTAATTCGGAATATGGTTCCAGTTTTTGCTTTGACCTACCCTATCAAAAGTTATACGAGTTTTTCAAGGTATTTTTTGAACTCAAGGTCCTCTAGCTTGTCCAAAAACTTTCACAGGCAACCGATTTACTTAATTTAGGGGTCAAAATGAAGAGAAATTTTGAGGGTCATTTATCTGGAAACTGTTTGAAAATATATTAACTTTGACGAGAGTTATGAACCGGTGGATCCAAAATGATCCCCAGCGATCCGGGAAATCCGTGAACATTTCTCTTCGTTTTGGCCCTAAACTAAGTAAATCGGCTGCCTGTGAAATTTTTTGGACGAGCTCGTGGGGAAATAACTTTCGCAAAAACAAAACAAATTCTTGCCGTGAATGTGTGAAAGCATCCAGCTGAAGATCAACTTACTGGTGTATTTGGCTTGATCAAGAATGAATATAACAGCACTGAAAATGCACGGGATGATCACAGTGATCATTGGAATCGTTATCTGAAGTAAGGTTACAGTGTTTTTGAATCAAATTGACGTGCCACTGATGCCACTTTAACGACTACTTTAACGGTCCCAGCCGATCAATATGCTGAAGGACTAGCTGAGAAAATTGAGCCTGTAAGCCAGGCCTAACGTCAGGTCCTGGGTCCGGATCCACCAATCACTAGATCTAGTGGTTGATCTAGCAAAATTCGCCAGATTTAACCCTCGGTTTACAATCTTGGGAGGATAACTCTTTCAATTTTTATATTTTTTTTGTTAGCTGTTTTGGTCTTTGGCAATTAAATGAAATTCTGAAGCCGAAGAATTTCATCTAGTTTCTAAAAGCCAAAATCGCTAGCAAAAGTTTTTTGAAACTAAATGAAATTCTGCTTCGGCTCTTCTGCTTCAGAATTTCAAAAAATAAAATTGAAAGAGTTATTCTCCGAAGATTGTAAAGCGAGGGGTAAATCTAGCGAATTTTGCTGGATCAAGCGGTTGGTGGAGCCGAACACTGACCTGGCCTAACTTTGCCCATTGACTGTTTGAAACGTTAGTGGGACAAGTCTACTTAATAGTCGCAGTAGCTCACCTGTGTAACTAAAGCTTTGATCAATTTTCTCTCCTCCTGAACGAGTTGAATGTCCAGGTATTCTTCTTGAATGCGAAGTAAGTAGAAGCACAGACATGACAAACCTGAATTGTTATGTATTTTTATGGTACTTTTGAGTATTGCGCACGCCAGGTCCGTACCCAAGGGGGGAGGCACTTTGTAGTTTGTTACTAGAACGAAATAAAGCAGCACGATCATTCGTATCATTCTCATTTTTTACTTGGATCATTATTTGATTGCTACAACTGTTAGAGGTTATTCTGCATTTATTTTCGTAAAATATGGCAGATCTAGGGGACAAAACAGAAAAATTGACGACTCCAACTCAAAAGAACTGCTTTTAAATACAATTTTTGCGTCGCGTGCAACATAGTCAAAAGTATCGTTTTTGTTTAATATTTTTATTTAGGTGCATAGGTAAAACTACCCACTGATCATCAAGGTGCCACAGATCACGACAAAACTGCAGATATTGCAGAAAAAGAAGAAATTCATTTCCGGAGGAGTACCGAAGAAAGTGTCTAATGCGATGAATTGGACCAACTCAGGGTATTTCTGAAAAGGCGTTCGTATAGGTCTGACAGCAGTTCATGTCAATTGTAGGGATAGTTGCGGGTTAGATCCTAGCCTAATGAGGATGAACACTCCAAAAACTGAGTATTCAACCGGTCGAGGGTTTGCTGACTCTTCTTCAATGCCATTTTTAACGACGATACGAGACGATGGTAATCGCGCGCCTTTTGATACATGGAGTAAACCTCTAGGAATAAAGCACAAAACCCAAACGTAGTTCCGCTCTTTTTTCTCCAATTTGATTTCATTACCTAGTTTTTAGAGAGTTTTGTAATCATTGTATTGGGTCGTAAATTAAAGTTGTTCAAAAAATAATGGGTCTTCCAGTCGACATCTAACATAGATAGCTGTGATCCGAAACAACAGCAAAGACAGAAATACCTTTCTCGTGCTAAACGTTAGCAAACTAGCAACTAACCTGTCGATAGTAATCATTGGTAGCTTGTTTATTGTCATGATTATGGATCACTGACAAAAACCACATGCTATGCAGGTAAGGAGCGATATTCAGTAATAAAAAGAACGCATATTTCAATCTAAAAGATTTGGATGGATAATTTTTCGGCCAATGTTTACGCAGGTTTCATTTTTAACGGATGATTCATGGGAACGATGAACTGGAGTCGAAGCAGAAACAAATACACTGTACATGTTTGAGTGTGGCCCAGCACAGCAATACCCAAGCCCTAAACGAATCACGATAAAAACCTGTTAAAATCAGCATCAATAATTTGTTTTTGTTTTAAATTTTAAAACATGCAGTCAAGAACTCGGTGGAGAGCCCGACCAGTGGCATCCATCCATAAGGAACCCCTCCAATCAAAGGGAAAAGTAAAAAGGGACAGCACCCATCACCGAAAATATGATCAGAAACTGTTGCTGTCACCTGTAAAACAAAGCTAGATTATTGAAATTAGATTCTAATCAATAAAGTCAGATTATTTAAATATTCTTTCCTGCTAGCGTCTGAGCAAATTTGCAACCTGAAGGCACGCCAATGCTTTTGAGTACTCGCCCATCTCTTTTGGAGAATAAACCAATATGGTGTACAATCCAAAAAGGTTTATGATTGTGCCAATAACTGAAAAAAAATTAATTTTATCTAAGCCTGCCATTGCAACTCTTACCCGAAATGCAGTGAATAATCGTGAAGACATAGTCCTGGGAATGAACATCGAGCTCTACAATCATAAATAAAAGGTCAACAAAAATGTCTATTTTCGTTTAGTTCACAAACTCGAACTTTTTGCCCACAAATGTTTTTCTTCCATCATTAACATCCCGGTGGAAGTCAAACAATCGATAATTAAAAATTTATTGCAGTAGATAATAAAAAAAAAAATTCCCACTACGACCTAATTCCACCTGCGCTTTCTTGGTCGATTCTGGGCCGATTGCTCTGAAATGTTGTCTACAAGCTGAAAATGTCGATTTCTATCTGTAGACAACATTTCAGAGCATTCGGCCAAGAAACTGACGGGAAAACGAAGATGGAAATAGGTTCGGGTTGGAATTTTCCCATGTCAATTGCATGGTAATGTCAGTAAAGCATTTTGGTAAAAAATGTCGAATCAATGAAGTTGATCAATAATCAATTTTATGAGAAATAGCGAAAGAGTTGCTCCTTGTGTCTCAAGATCCTTCGTTTTTGAGAGAAAATTACAATTACATTATTGAAACTTCCTTTTTAATCAGTGATATAAACTGTTTTAGATTCTTTGGAAATTGTTTAGGCCTACAATTAGAGAGAAAACTTTGATAGTCATATATCAAATTTAAATTTTTCTGACTTAAACTTAGATCATGGATTTGAATTGAAATGGTTGAAAGCCTTTGACTTTAGAAAACATTTTATTCAAGCCATACTTTGTTTTATTCAAGAATAAATAAAATAAAACAGCTATTCAAAACGAAATCAATCCAGATCATCTAAATCGTCCTTTAATGGGCATTTTCCAACGGGTTCAAGTTGAACCGATATCTTTTCCCCGAGCCCAAGCTGTGTTCGCAAAGATTCCGCAAAAGTGTGATTAATAGGGATTGGGAGGATTTGCTTTAGGTGCTTCATTTGATCGTCCGAACCGACTAAATGCACCAAACCGGGTAAAAGATCCATAAATGTTTGTGGTTCAGCCAATTTCTCCATGGCTTTTTTGAGATCCAAGGCCGGGGGCATTTCCTTTCCAACAACAGAAAGTTTTATTTGATCCTCTATTTTCACTAAAACGTCGATGTATTGCCAAGAATTTTCAAATTTTGAAGTAACGAGCGGTTTTAGCTTTTCTAGAGAAAAATAGAGATTTTCACACAGTTCTCCCTTTATTTGTTCAGCACTTTTGGTTGAGAGTAAGATTGAGTCAAAATAATCCACACAAACGTCAACGATTTCCTTCATATACTGATTCGAATTCGTTTCGTCGATTTGAAATGCTTTTGAGAATTCGCAAACATTTGACGTTTTTAAATAAGACCCGAAAAAGTTTTGGCAAACTTTTGTGATAAGTTCACGCGATAGAAATTCTTCGACGTTTACTCGTTCAACGATCATTTCATTGAGAAGGCTTTTGGAAACGCTTTTCTTGGTGATACCACCGCTTTGATCCATAACAAGAACTTGATAAGAGTTAGTTGTATTCCTACCCAAGACATCAAATAAGCGAACATCGACAACCAGCTCATTTGAGTTCGGAAATTTACGGAAGAAGAATACATTTGGTGTCTCCGATGTTTTAAGCCATTCTTTAATGAAAATCACGCAAGAAATTGCGTCAAATAGTTTAAAGACGTCAATAATATTTTGAAGTTTTGCTAATAGATCAGAAAATAGGAGAAACAGATTTGCTTGTTTGGGAAAGCCGACATCGCAAGAATAGAAAACAGATTGGAGAGGTTCACAGCAAGGCAAAATGGAGTCAAAGTGCAAATATGCACACTTCACTTCACATTTGCAAACGGTTTTCGGTGGAATTCCCAAGTGGTAGATGTAGTTTTGATCTGGTGAAATGGCTAGTTCCCAATGGGAAATCACTCGATTGAACACATCACGGAAGAAAAAGAGAAATTTGTCATCATTGTCGAAATACAATGGCTGAGTGTGACTGTAACGTAAACTTGAGAGTCGCTTCTTTTCCTCAATTGCGAAATGATACGGATTAAGCCATTTACCGCGAAAATTTCTCCTTAGATTTAGCTGATTTCTCTGCAAAAATTGATAACTTCCGTCTTTTGCTCTTTTGTTAGCGTAAACAAACTGATCGCCAGCCAAGTTTTGAAAAATTCGGTGTTCTTCTGGAAGTTGTGTTGAGTTCTGAACTGGAGCATTCATGTCGTAAGCATCAAACATTTCTTGAAAATTTGCAACCCTTTGTTGTAGGTTTTGAAAGTTATGCCAATATAGAAGTATCGTTGCAAAAGCAACAGACTGAACTTGCTGTTTTGATGACTTTTCTAAGAATGAATCAATCTTTGAACGCCAATCAACTTCCGGAAGATTGTTCGGTAAATTGATCTGTGAAAGAACAAAGTCGTGAAGGTCTATTGCTTTTTCCATGACTTGTTCTTTATCGCTATTTGAGTCAGTTTGATTGGGTATCATCTCCGGCTCTTCGAATCCCCAGTCATCATCAAAATCATCGTCCAAGGAGAGATCACCAAAGATTTCATCGAATGTAGATGAGATTGGAACACCCTCCGTTTCACCATCAAAGCCGATTGGTCGTAAAACCACTTTGCGTGTTGTGTCTTCATTGGGTAGGAAAGCAAACGAATGAGAGCCCAGCTCGTACCCCTTAAAATAAAATTAAAAGACGAGTACGTTTCTTACTTGTCTGTGTGAGAGGATCATATCATAAAGATCGGCAGTTTTTAATCTCGAAGGTGGATCAAACCGAACGCATCTGAAAAAGAATCCTTCTCGACCCTTCCAGTATGATTTATCTTCCTTCCAGTATTTATACTCTCCAAATTCCCAATTATCCGCACCAAAAGCATCACTTTCAAGAGACTTTTACTAAGTAAAGAACGACGACCTACGCATAAATAATGATTTTGATTCCTTCGATGCAATCGATTTTCTCCATCACCTCCAAACATCGAGTTTCTCTGTAATCAGCTTCAAAACGTGGCGAAATCAATCCATCTACCATCAAATATTCTCCAAAAAGTGGTCTAAAACTCAACTTCACTTTTTTGTACCGTAAAATTACCTCCGTTCAATCATCTCCCAACATACAATTCCCGTTGAATAAACGTCGCTAGCATGTGACCACTAAAATTGTAGATATTGTGCTTGTTTTGCAATAAACCTTTATCTGTCCTTCATGTTTCGGGAAAAGGTCTGGAAAGCGCACTTCTGGACTCATATATCTTTCGGTGCCACAATAGGACCCGGAAGGAACTGTGGCTGGCTCAACGGCTAGCATTCCGTCGATCACTTTTGAACATCCAAAGTCTCCCAAGATCAAATGGTAAGTGTAATCGACCAATATACTGAAGTGTATTTGGGTATCTGCTTAAGATAGCTAGGTAATAAAGGAGTGAAGGAATTGGCAAGAAAAAGTAGATTTCCGGAGAGGTGATTGAACCCTCGACCATTTGCTTTCCGGGCAATTGCTCTAACCACTGAGCTATCCGGTACCTTAACTTCCCAAGAGAAAGAAGGAAAGAAGAAAGAAAGAAAGAGAAGGAAATATCCGGGTCACTTCAGAAAAGGGCTCTCACCCTATTTGAAAATTAAAACCACGGGTATTAGTAATAAAGAAGTGAAGGATACAACTTTAAACGTGAACCCTTGTATCGTCAGCATCGATTTATGAGGTTACCACGGGCTAACTGCCAATTTCATCTAAAAAATAACTCACTTGTCCGGCTTGATATCACGATGCAACGTGCCGGTTGATTCAAGGTACTTCAATATGTTAAAAAGTTGTTCCATCCAACAGACGACTGTGTACATTGAATAAGAAACATTTGGTGAAAAAAGATCTAAACATTTCATCGATGCAAAATAACAACAGCAAGCACGGGCTTACAGTATGTCAACGATTTTCTTTCAACGAACTCCATGATGAGCCCAACAATTTCTTTGGCTTTGATTACAGAGGCAAAATATTTAACGACTCGTTGATGCTTGAGCTTCTTTAGTGCTTCAACTTCACGGTCTCTCGTCATTTTATTCATTCGGCTAGGATCTTGGAATATTTTCAAAGCCAATCTTCTAAAAACTAATTTTACTGTTTGTTGGGTTCGTTTGACAGAATCCCAAATCACTCACGAGTTAGGAATCCTATACAAGACGGCAAATCCACCATTTCCAATAAAATTCTCATCCACCATTGCATCGCGAATACTCTTTTCGTCGAAAGAAATTTCATCAGCTAACCCAATACTCATTTTGTCTCAATATTAAGCACAAGGACTTGTGTTTTCCAAATGTCAAGTAATTTTCTTGTGAAATTTACGAAGAATTTCGAAGCAGAGTATAAATCAAAGCAAAAGGAGCCTAAAATATTGCTGTAAAAAGGTGTCTTGTGTACGAGAAACTGTTAAAATCTTCACCTTTGTTCTTTGTATATAATCAAAGCTAAATAACGAAATACAAAATCAGTGTTAAAAGGGAGCGGAAGATTTGTGGCTTTTCCTTCTCCGCTTTCTTTCTCTTACTATTAGGTACATGCATAAGAAATGCGGATTTTGATCAAAAAAAGTTCTAGAATATTCAATATATCTAGAATATATTTACAACTTCAATCCAAAGTATAGGCTCCATTGGTATGACACTTCTCCAGCTTTTCCTCAAAGAGTGAATTCCTCTGTCATAAAAGTCGGCAGACTGAGAATCAAAAAAGGCGGCCACCCAAGCTTGGATTTCCTCGTTATCGTTGAGCTTCTTGTCGGTCAAAAAATGTTGTATAGATCGGAATAGATGATAATCGCAAGGAGCCAAGCCAAAGCTGTAAGGTGGATGAGGGAGGCCACATTGACTTTTAGATATTATGTCTGGTCCAAAGACAGAAGCGAGCATTTTATGCCATTCGACAGCGTTCTTTCCCTGCTTAAAGTCGTAAAGCATACAGACACGGACGCAATACGCGATACGATTCGCGATACGATTCGCGATACGATTCGCGATACGGTACGCGATACGGTACGCGATACGGTACGCGATACGATACCATCTCTAATATAAAAAGTATAGAAGCAGAAAATAGGAATTGAGATGCAATAGAAACTAGTCAAACGTGGTTTAAAAATGCAAAAAGAATTAGCTGAAAATGTTGAACAGATGATGATTATCAAAGTTATCAAAGTTCATCCGCATTTCTTAGGCATGTACCGAATATTATGCTAATTAGCCCTTTTCCTCATAAGAAAGTTCTCGATCAGTATCAAAGTTTGTAGACTATATTCATCCATAATACGTATAAGGTTTTTTTTTTTTTACCGACTGGGGCACCAATGGTGAATTTATCGCATACACGAAATATATCAATCACAATACAACGACACACACAATACTAGGCTATATCTTAACTTAACCCACGTCATGAAGACGGCCCCCAACCCAAGCTCAAGGGGAACAAATAGCTTTTGGTGGTGAAGGGAGGACGATGAAGGAGGGCTTGTCACTTAACTGGGGCCAAACCACCAGACCCCTCCAGAAAACTCTCAACCCGAAGGGAAAGCGAAGGGACCATTCGCATGTGGGGTTCGAACCCTCACTTCCGATTATACACTCACAGCTCGGTTTGCCAAAATAATCTTCAGATCCGCATGTGGTAAGTGCAGCTGTCCGACATTAATCTTTACCCTGAATGGATATTCATCTTCTCTCCCTGGCAGTTATTATGTGGTAAGAAACTTGTCAAGTCTAACTCTTTTTGAGTTCTAAAAGAGAATTCTACGATTAGCTAAGACAGCGACAGTGGCATTTAGGCGACAGCGGTTGTAATTAGATTGTTTGAGGGCCTTTTAGTCATTCATGGCTAGTGTTGTTGACAAATTCTAAAAATCTATTCACCAAAAGTATCCAATTGACAATCTTAGGATTCTTCATGCAATTTACTGATCTTTGCTTCCAATGAGATCTCGATTGCAGCCAGTTTGAATGCACAATGGATTCTCGGGGACGCATTCTTCCGAGGATTTTATTAGGTCTACGATTATGCACATGCAGGGGTCGGGTTGGCTCCTCGACGATAAAGATCTCAATTACCAAAAACAGTGTTTTTTTTTCTATTTTAGCTATATTAGTTCAATCCAAGTGCTTGAATGCAGTCTTAACACTAAAAGGCAGAAAACAAATAAATTTATCCAACAATTAAAGCAGAAGGCAAAAAGACAAATGAAACAAGTATTCAAATAACTTAATTTATCATAGATTTCAAAACAAAAACAAGCTCGATTTAAGCACGTAAAACAATTAGATTCAATGAACTAAACACGTTGTTCAACTGTCTGATCAACGACTTTTTGGATTTTGCAATAACACATCGGCCGATGTGTGGCTCGAAGAAGACAACTTGCTGTCTGCCCGTATCTGAATTCAAAGCCCAATGTTGGAAGTATTAGGCCGCCCAGAAAGTCTTTGCGGTCCTTTTCATACTTCCGTTGAAAAATAACAAATTCGCCAACAACCTATGGTTTGCTCAAAATATAAAGTGTTTATCGTTCAATTTCCCACCTTTTTAAGTCAATTTGGGTTCACCTTCAAGCAAATTCGAGAGTAAAAACGTGTTTTTTGTAAAAATCTATAAGAATCTCTACGAAGAAATTGGCTGAATCAATTTCTCTGAAAATTTGGCTGTATACCTGACTCTTTCTGCTCTATCTTTTATCTAGTGACACCAAAATAGGTTTCGTTAGCTAAAAAATCTAAACCGCATCATCAGGCCGTCGCCTTTTTTGACTATCCGACTTCACGCTCCCAAAACAATCCAGACCTAAGACATTTTGAGCCCGTTTTAATGTTATTTTGCAGAAAAATAATTGGCCTTTCTAATGAAACAAACCGTAATTCAATTGGTGCATTTGTTGGTTTAAAACGGAAGTACGAAAAGGAATGAAAAGACTTTCTGAACATCCTAATACGTCTAACCTTTTTATCTTTTTGGGTTTAAGATCTAATCAGTCAGGGTGTCTAGTCAGCGTTGGCTGACTTAATTGCAAAAAAATCTCTGACTGACAAAACATTGCAAAGTTTCCGTTCAGTTTCCGTGTGATAATTAGTTTCATCTACCGATTTATCCGAAGAAATTGCTTTGGTTCCAACACCAATTCCCCACCATCTTCCAGTTTAAAGATTGCCTACAACAAATTTATTATTATATATTCTTTATTATCTGGATGTTTTACAGAAAATTCTGCATCCCGATGCGTAAAGAATTCGACCTCGAAGAATCGACTATTGAACGAATTGGGAATTCTTGCGACTTTGGTGAGCTGAAATAGAATCAGGGTGGTAAAAACAAGATCACTTAGATAAATCAGACTAGATAAATAATATAAATTAGATAAAAGCAAGATATGCAAGCTATTTTGGCAAACATTTTGATAGCTTACATTTTTCACAGCCACACTTTCACAGAGATCGGTGAGATCGTAGTCCGCCAAAAATTGATTGAAATTTTTTGAGATGATGTTAGGAAGCAGCAGCCACAATGAATCTTCTCTGAATCAAAAGGTTTAAATCAAAAAAATAAGAATCAACTTCGAATCTGAATCTCACTTGGGCATTGGTGTTGCTTCTCCGTAGTTACAATTACAAAATTCTGATGGAATTGGTAAATGTCGGCAATCTCTTAGCAAATTAGGATCCAATTCTCGCAGCCAAGAGTTTCCGAGAGTACCTTTGAAAGAGTTATGAAGGAACTCAGTTTCGTGAAGCATACCATTGAGACGTAAAAACGATTGATCTTGGAAGTTTACAACGGATTGATGCTAAAAATGTTATTGTTGAATTGTTGAAGAGCAAACACTTACTCTGACAATATCGATAAGAGTAGCATAGAGGTCATGAGGGGTAAAGAGTTTATCGCTATTCTTCCGAATTATTGCTTCCATGGGTGTGTTTCTGAAATATTAGGTCCAGAAAGTCCAGAAAGTCCTTTCGCCCCTTTTCGTGCTTCCGTTTAAAACCAACAAATGCACCAATTGTTTCATTAGAAAGGTTGATTAATTTTCTGCAAAATAACATTAAAACGGGTTTAAAATCTCTTATGTTTGGATTTTTTTTGGGAGCGTGAAGTCTGGTAGTCAAAAATGGCGGCGGCCCGATGATGCGGTTTAGATTTTTAGCTAAGGGAACCTATTCACTCTCGAATTTGCTTGAAAGTAAACCCAAATTGACTTAAATAGGTGGGAAACTGAACGATAAACACTTTCTATTTAGAGCAAACCATAGGTTAATTGGTGAATTTGTTATTTTTCAACGAACTTGTTATTTAAAGGTAAATTTTGATCTCAAGAGCTGCCTTGATGTATCTCAAACCTACCGCAATTTTTTCGGGATTGCGAAGAGCATCAATGGATTGTATCTTTCGAAATGCCCTTGTTTAGTGCCAATAACCTAAAAAGTTGGTACTAGTGCTAAAAATTTTATAAACCTTGCCACCTCTGGCTCCGTGATCTCCCATCAGAATAACAAACGAGTTCTCGAGCTAAAGTTGAGTGAAGGTAAATGTTTAAAAATCCCTAAATTTACTGAATTGGGATTCTCCAGATCCAATATTGATCTTTATTTATATCAAAATTTCGATTTCTCACCATTTTATAAACATTGCCAATTGCTTCCAGGGAATAATTCAAAAAAACCCTAGAGAAAAAGTTTTTGGCTTCAAAATTTCTTATGATACAAGTATTGAGCGTAAGAGACTAATCCCTGTGTAGAATGTCGGTTGTTGGCTATTTAATCATTATATTTTTATATGACTTAAAACCTGTTTTAAAGTTTGTATGCTTTATGACTTCAAGCGAGGAAAAATGGCAACCGATCGCCATAGGGCCATTGCAAGTGTAATTGGCCAATCAGCAATCTCAGAAAGACAATGTCGCGCTTAGTTCTAACGATTTCACAAAAAGAATGAGGATTTCGAAGACCGGCATCGAGGCCATCCACCACCGGTAATCGATAACTTGGAGTTGCGCAAAGTGTTGAGGAAAACCCATACGTCTCCACTCGTGAGCTTGCAGACATGTTTGATGTCGATCAGACAACCATTTTCATCATCTGCACCTAATTGGAAAGACAATTCATGCCGGAAAATAGGTTCCATATCAGTTGAGTGATGCAAACAAGGCAACCAGGGTGTTGTAATACTCCTTCGAAAGCCAAAGAACAGGGGGTTCTGGGATTCATTTTTAACATCCGACAAAGAATGGATTTCATACCAGAATCTCGACAGGAAACGACAGTGACTCAGTGTAGGGAAATCTCCTGTAACGACTCCAAAGGTGGACCACAGGTGAGAAGGCAATGCTATGTGTTTGGTGGAATAGAAAGGGGCTTGTGCATTTTGAGGTACTCGATCACGGACAAACAGTGACTTCTGAACTATATGTTCAACAATTTGATCGAGTCAATCAAGCAGCAGGGGATTGATTCCGGCACAGTTTGTTCTCTTCAAGGTAACGCCCGTCCACACAGCGCGAAGTTGATTCAGGAGAAACTCGAGGATCTGGGTTGGGAATCTGTTCCTCACCCGCCGTATTTCCCAGATTTCGCCCCGACAGATTACCATTTATTTTTATCCATGCAACACTCTTTGGCTGGAAAGAAGTTCAAAAACACGATGAGATCCGAATCTTGGTGCGCCAATACTTTGATAGTCAAATACCCCAGCTTTTCGAGAATGGGATTCGAGAAGGAAAAGTGGAGAAAGACCATTGAAAATAATAGCGAATATCTTTTGGAATAATTGTTGTTTTTCGCAGTATTTTAGCAATAAAGTTGTTATGTAGAAAAAAGTTTCACGACGGTTTCATTCGGTTCAACTTAATAGTTTCGTGTTGTTTCCTTATGATTCAGTGAGTTTTGGCCAGTGTAACGTGAGCCTGCTCGGCTGACCAACTTTGGATCCCAAGTACCAAAAAGCGCGTAGGGGACCGTCGGGAAATTTGGTTCATTTCAAGAACTTGTCCGTTGGATCGGCAAAGAACTCAAACAGTGAAACCTTAGAGCTATAATCTTCAAACTTCTTGAACCCCAACTGTTCTCTCAATCGAATTTCTTTCATGCAAATGGAAGGAAGTTGTAGCAATAATATAACGTTTAGTAGTACCACCTCTTCTTTATTTTCCCTCATGAACTTCTCGTGATACTTATCAGATATCCGAAACCATTTCTCTTTGTTATGACCTTCAATCGTCCATCGGATTCCCATTTTTGGTTTTCCTAAAGTTTTTGACTGATAAAGCACAATGAAATTGTTGACCTTTGTAAGCTTTCACAAATTTCCCATAATATTCAATAACATCCAAATAAGCTTCCCCACATCTTGTAGCGTTTCGTATATGCTTTGTGAGAGTCTTCTCATCGGTAAATTTGTAGCCAGCTTTATAGAATGGACTAAAGTTTCTTTTTATAGATTTGAAATGTTTTACAAACTCCGGGTCGTACGCGTCTTCTTCGGTAAGTATTGGTAATAAATATGGTCTAAAATTCATCAATTCTCACTCAAAATACCTCACTCAACCTGTTCCAATGAATTGTGGGATCATTTTTGAAACTCGCACAGTCAGTATAAGCGATCACATCGAGGAAGAAATCTTCAGCAAATATTGTTTGATAGCCAGCGTCCTGAAGTTAGTCCTTGTTGAATTGCTATGAAAACCTACTTCATACTCAAATGCAATGTAGGCTTTGTCATCCAAGAACTTAGAACATTCAAAGCTCGCGTTGATAGTGGTACCACCATAGACACTCCGATCAACTTCCTGCGCGATAATACCTGAAAATGGGTTCAATAGCTATGTTTTTGTTACAGACCAAAAAATGCCACGAGTGCATTAGGCCGACTGTTTCCTCCTACTTGAGCATATTGCTTGAAATCGGTGGCTCCTAGCTCGTCAAGCATGAATTTGTAGGTTTTCTTGAGCTGCCTAAAGAGAGATTTACAAAGGGTTTATAGCATTCAGCGGAAGACTTCTAAAAGCTAAATACAGGGTGCGGCATATATAGTGTTGCCGTTGATGCATCTTTTTGGCTTTCTATAAGACAGATATAAGACAATACATTAACCTAAGCTAAAAATAACAATGAATCATAAAATCTATGGGAAATTTTACCGAGAATAGAAGAAGCGTAACATTTTTTAATGACTTTGACAACCCTAGCCGAGCAGTACAAAAAAATGCTATTTTGAAAAGCAGAAGAATCGCAAGATCTTCCACAATCATTGTCCCACAACTCCATGTATACATTTAGATTCCATAGACTCTTAGCAACATTTTGGTATTTTACTCATGAGATTTGGAACTAACCTCGAGAAGTAACACACGTTCAAGCACGTGACAATACTTATTAGCCACCCTGTACCTTTGTGCTGGGAATCTCCCGGCAGCGTCAAGAACTAGAATGTAGACACTCGGCTGATAGAGATCGGCTTGTTCTCTTAGTTTCAACGATGGACTTTCTCGATAGAAGTCACCGAGCACTTTTTTGCGATCTCTCCTAAATGCAAATTCTGTTATTTTTCCATTAGTCTATGCACTCACTTATGCTCAACAATTTGCATGTGTTGATCAATGTGTACGAGGCTTCCATTTTGAAAGCAATGCACGAAAACGAAGTCGCACTCGAATTTGCTACAGTTTTGACCAATAATGCATGACGGACCAAAATGGTACTGATAATAGCCATCTCGATATGTACAACTGAAAGCTGTATGTAGATTTTGAAAAACATAATATGAATTTTGTTTACTAATACCTGGCATTACAATTCAATTCATTTAGCTCAGAAGACTGTTGAGCCATTCGGACTTCTCCATTTTCCAAAACTGTTAACCCGGGCTCTCGGTGACATTCAGCTGAAAGCAAACTTGGTTTCTTACAAAAATCGGTTTAAACTTGGGATGAAAAGTCATTCGTTTGAAAGAGTTATTACAGGGTGGCCCATAATTATAGATGTAGTGGCTCGTTATCTATTATTATTAACATGCTCGATCTCTTAAAAGCTGAAATTTTGCACTGAGCACAAAAGCATTTCAAAAATCAAATTTCGACATTCCAAGAAGACGGGGCTCCGGCCTACAAAGCCAAGAAAATCCAAAATTTTTGAAAGTTTCCCGATTTCATCTCTTTTTCTGAATCCCAGCTCGCCGGATATCAATCCGATGGATTATTCTGTCTGGACCGTCTCCGGGGCAAAAGTCTGCTCAAAACCCGTATAAAAATGTTGAAAATTTGAAGAAAAGTCTTCTGAAAGCCTGAGATGAACTCAATGATGCTTACTTGGTCGCCACCATGGGCGCCTTTCCTAAACACTTGACAGCGTGCTAGGCTAAAAATGGTGATCGTGTTGAATTTAGTTATTAACTTTGTTGTTTATTGATATCAAAGATTTTAAAACAAGAGTTTGTTCTCTAAAATTGAATTTTGTCTACCTACAAAGCTTTTTAGGCTGTCCTGTGGGCTATCCAAAAAGCCTTTTCGCTCCTGTTCGTACTTCCGTTTAAAACCAACAAATGCACCAGTCGTTTCATTAAAAAGGCCATTTATTTCTCTGCAAAATAACATGAAGTCGGGTATTCAAAAAGGGCGACGGCTCGATGATGGGGTTTAGGCACTTTAGCTAAGGAAACCTATCTTTTATCTATCGATACACGATAGGTTTCCTTAGCTAAAGTATCTTGTATCAATAGATAAAAGATAGAGCACAAAAAGTTAGGCATATAGCCAAATTTCAGAGAAATTGATTCAGCCAATTTCTTCATAGAGGTTTTCATAGATTTTTACGAAAAACACGTTTTAACTCACGAATTTTCTTGAAAGTAAATCCAAATTGACTTAAATAGGTGGGAAACTGAACGATAAACACTTTCTATTTAGATCAAACCATAGGTTGTTGGCGAATTTGTTATTTTTCAATGGAAGTATGAAAAGGACCGAAAAAGCTTTCTGGACAGCCTAATAAAATTAGTACACAAAAAACTTACGTTCATCTTTCACATGTGTCAATAAGTCCAAAATATTCTTAGCATCAGAAACATAATTGTAGGAAGGACAGCCAACAACAGCCACTTTTGCCTGTGCATATGGATCTGAAAAATGATTATGAGTTAGGAAATGGAATTTTCATTTAACAATGGAAAGATAGACAGAGTGTTGAAAGACTTTTGATCCCTTTTACTTATATAAAACAACCACTTTCCCACTTTTATCAACACGGGTTAAATTCTTGGAATCTCAAAAACAGGTCAAAGCATACTTTTCACTTTTCATTACAGAATTGCCATTTTCTTTAGACAGGCTCAAACCCTTGCAGGATTTATGTGTATTTTATTCTTAAAACCATACCAAATACAAAGTCATCGATCTGCAAATAAAAAAATAGAAATAGAGAAATGCATAGAATTCCAATGATATGATACCATCGGAACTGAAAGTTGTAAAATTGCCCAAGGTTTTTTAAACACTGTACCTTCTTAACTTCGATCATTTTTTCAAAAATTTGCCGAAGAACCACGCATGAATAAATCAGAATATAGTATTTCAATTCACAAATGTGATTGAGATGAACCAGTCAGAAAGCTATCAGTACGAAAGAAAAAGAGCCCCTTCTGAGGCAATGATAAGAGCAAAAAGAGATCGAAGAATCGATCGATGAAAAAAATCTTTGTTTTAGTGTTTTCTGTGATATTTTTTTCATGTTATTTTTTTGATCATTTTTAACATAACAGAAAAATTTATTTAAGCACTTTCAAAATCAAATGGATTCACCAGAAGCATTAATAACTTCTTTCCAACGTTGCCCCAAATCACGAATACCGTCCTCGTAAAATTAAAGATTTTTAGAGGCAAAATAGTTGGCAACCCAATTTTCGATGTCCTGCTTTTGTTTGAACTGCTGTCCAGAAACTGCTTGTTTCATTGACCGAAAGAGATGGTAATCCGATGGGGCTAGATCAGGGCTGTATGGTGTGTGAGGAAGAAGTTTCCATCCCGACTTAGCGATCTGTTCGTGGGCGACCTTTGAAATTTGCGGCCTAGCAATGTCGTGAAGAAATCTGACCTTTGATGGCTCGATCCGCTTTTTCCTCAGTGCTCGATCGACTCGACCCAGTTGTTCTGCATAAAGTCTTCCATCAACATTGTCTCCTTTATCTAATATTTCAAAATGAGCCAATCCCTTAGCATTCCACCACACACAAAGCATAACTTTTTCGGAGGCTTCGGGATAGGATGAGAGGTCTGCTTCGAACTCAGCCACTGTCCATAGAGTTGAATATTTTCATACGAAAGCCAAGTCTCATCAGATGTCAAAAAATACTTCCAAAAGTCACGATGGCTAGCTTTACGTCGAAGAACAGAGCTCAAGGTGACTCGTGTGACTTTGTGGGCATCAGTGAGGTCGTGGGGGAGCCATTTCCCGCTTAGATATGATTTCCCAAGAACGTGTAAATGGTAACATGAGTGCATCCGAACTTTTCTGCTAATTTTCTACACTTTTGCGATGGATCCAAGTTGACCTCGTTCAGTAACAGCTGATCGTCCAAAGTAATCGGCGGCTTTCCATGTGGTGCATCTTCCAATGACTCATTTCCCGTTTTGAAGCGATCGTACCAAACACAACATTGTTTGTAAGTAAGAGCAGCTTCTCCAAAAACAGTACAAATGTTCTGATGACATTCCGTAGCTTTCTTGTTTAACTTGAATTCAAAGAAAATGGCGGCCCTGATTTTAAATTTTTGGTTATCCATCTTTGCCGAGCTGAAACAATACAAATATTGTTCAAAACAAAAAAGATTTTGCAAAAAAAACATGAGCACATTTTGACATATTATTGAGAAAAATCCTAGACAGCGAATGTTCTTCGTAACGACAGGGCAATATTTTTTGTAAAAAATAACCTTTCAGATTTGCCAAGCTAATAGTAAGGACATTTCTGAAAAACTCGAGATTTTCTATTTGTCCCCTCATTTTAAGGAATAAGCTTTCTGGCATTGCTTTTTACAGTTTTACATCAGGTTTAAAATTCTTGTAATTTAACGACCCTCAGTATTTTCCTACAACATTTGGCTGTTTTCATGATCCGGCGTTTCTCGACGAGGCAAAAATTTCCACAAAGGATCTAGCTGCGACAAATTGCTTTTGCACGTAAGGATAAATCTCTTGTAATGATTCAAAGGTTAAACATCCATTTGAACTTTTTGAAGAACAACGATAAAACAATTTAAGACGGTCGGATTTAAATGATTTCAGATGATCACGACTCAGTTGATCTTGCGTTGTTTTTGCCAACACAGTACTTGTTGGTTTGATTGACATTGGGAAATTTGCGCTTTTTAGTCTATGGTCTCAATAAATGTTGGCACCGATACTCAGAGTTATCCAAAGTTTTCTATGAATTTTAATTCTTGAACACTTCATTTCCACAAGAACTTGAACATATCGTTTAGCCGACCAAATTCGAAACCTTTTCAGAAGCCGAATTGTAATAAAGACTAATGCTGTTTGGAACCGTTGAGTAGCCTCGTGATCTTTGATCATGCAAAATATAAATCACGATGAAGATGACAGCTATTCCCAATAAAACGAACAAAATCCACGCCATTCTGCGACTTTGCGGTTTACCGTTCAACCAATCTGAAGCTTTGATCTATTTCACAACATTCATTCAACTCACATGTTTCAAGTTTCAATTGAAATCCTTTGGATGTGTCCGATCCATCACTCACAAATCGGAGAAACAGATGATTGCTTTCCGTTGTTCGGTTTTGTTTCTCCAATTTGTTTAAACCTGAATGAATCTATATGATAGCTGATAATGAGCTTGAAAGAAGCTGATCAATCAAAGCTGATCGACTAGATCAACAATTGCTAGTATAATGAAACAATATCCTTAAAGTTAGCTTTAAAGATTAGTGAGACGAGTGCATTGTGAAGTAAATATGGCAACCACTCGTCCACTATACTTATTCGTTATTCCATGTTCCTCATATGTCACTTGATCATTGTAGGACACAGAAAGGGCGATGACAACAATCCGAATTTTCGCCCCGTCAGCAGCCGTTATTAAATAGGAGCAATCCATATTGTTGCAATAACTAAAAGTTATCCTGAACGAAATTAGCAAGCTCTCCATGCTAAAACCTTTTCGCAGTTTCTTTTAAAATATCAAGCCAAATGCCCTACTTTGCTGGATAATATGGCGATGAAACCCAAATCGGCGAATCGTCGAGTGTGTATTCTATTTGCCCGCATTGACAGGCTAAAAGCAAGTGTTTATTTGCAACCTAAATCATAAGCCAAAAGCGACTTTAAGTCTTTCAATCAGTCTCTTAAAAATGGGTCCTCTTAAGCCACATGGCCAAGCATTGGTCAAAGAACACCTTTCCTCACCTTCTTTCCATTCCAAATTGATGCTTACATTAATGCCCGTCCGGACATAATCCGGCCGTGTTCCAAAGTGCAAATAAACGAAGTCAGCTCTATTTAATCTTATGGAAGGCTCAGCTCGATAACTAACGTGTTTTCTGAAGTGAGGTAATCCTCAGTTCTGAAACTCCGATACGAATGGGTATGTTCATTAGGAACAAAGGAGCTAAAATGATGGTAAAATGCTAAAATGAACATTAGAATTAGCACTAGAAACCGTTTTATCTTCTGATCTATCGCTATCGTGAGCAGCCATGCATAATAAGTGGTGTTCTCAAATCCCCAAGTTATCATAAGGCGCTTTTTTGGGTTATTTTTGATCTTTATAAAGCAATCCAATTGAGGGCATTCCTTTTTGATGTTGAAGTCGATGTTTTTTGTTTCAAAAACAGTCAGATCAAGAAAAGGTTCGATGGAATTGGGGAAACATGTGCATTCTAAAACTACCGTGCTGAGTTTATTGACTAGAGAGAGATCAAGGCTATTATTCTCTGAGCATCTTTTACAAACCTCTCGAAACGTACATCAACCTGATATTCTCTAGCGCATTTCGATGGTATGAAATATTAAATGAAGTTGGCAGCATCCAGTGCCTTCTCTGAAGCAGTGAGCTGAAAATTGTTAGGTAAACCATATTCTAGAGTACAAAGCCTGGCAATTTCCGAATTATTGGTCGCAAAGCCCTTCATTTTGAGTGTGAATGGCTCCTGGTCGCGTCGTCCAAATGCCTAAACCAATGTTGGTCAATCATCAATTTTACAAACATTTACTTCTAATAAGATTCGTTCATAGTGAGTTGAATTCTCTTCAGTGGCGGCAATGCTGACTTCGGATTCGCATGTTGTACGACCACAAACTCCGTATGGAAAACCGGCGAGACTAATATTGGTATCATGCGATAAAATGATTTCCTCCATGGAACAAATGCAACCTGAGATGGCTTTTGATCTCCGTATATATTTTAGGTATTCTTTTAAAACAACAACGTGAAACCCAATCCGACTTACGATTTGGTCCCGTTTGAACGGAGAATTCGACTAACTTTTGCTCTGCAGGACATATTTTCAACATGGCTTTATTGCCGAATGTCTGAGAATTTTGCAATTTTGCAATTTCGTCAAAATATCTAAATTTATGATAGGTTTTAGCATAAAAGAGCTAACAATACCTTCTTCCGTCATTGCAAACTCGATCTATGCCTAAGAAAACTACTGAGTCCAGCAGCTCAATAGCATGTTCGTACTCTTTACCTAGAAAAGAGTCTTCATCACAATTATTTTCATAGATAAACGAAACCAAAATCAGGAGAAAATTTGAGTGAATTTCCCTCAGCCGCAAAAAAGAGCGCTCTGCATTCGATATCGAAAAAAGTATTTCAAATTAAGATTTGTTTTAATTTTCTGTGAATGGATGGCGTTCAAATTGTTGACAATCAGCTTACGGAATTTTTACAACTTTCAAACCTCCAAGATCAGAGGCATTTGCAAGCATTGGCCTAAAGTGTCGAACATTTTGATCAACAATAATAACCCGATCCAGACCACAATTGCTTTCCTTTGCCCTATTTTCTGAAAATGTTCAAATTCGTATAAAAGCCTTAGGAAGTCTGATCTTCAACCCTGTGAATTATGAATTTTATGAAAGAACAAATAAATCCAACCTTCAACTTTGCGAATCGTTAGATGAAATTTGAAATTAGTGCTTAACATTCCATAACCATAAGTATTGACGTTTAGGTAAATCCTGAAAGCTTGTCCAAGAAAAGACACTTGATCATCATTATCATCACCATCACTGGGCATTTTCGTCAAGCTTCAATGATGCTGCTAACATGTTTTGGATAAAAATCTCACCGTGCTTTTGTGATTTCCAGTTCACTGCCGTTCACCGACAAAATTTCGACCACGCGCATGTAACTGCCGAAACGACGACTATGACCAAGATGAAAATCGTCGATAGTCAAAAGCAATTGATGATTCGGCGGTGGTTTGATCTGCAATTGTTTGGTGATATGTCTGCAAATGTAGCTTCATTGCCAAAAATGAAGAAAAGCGCAAAAATCTCACAATCCAATTGCATTCCATGATTTCCTTATGTCTTCCTGGATACTCAGGGTTCTTGAGAATAACCGGTTGGTCATCGGTTTCATTCATTGTTTTCACTTGTTTTTTATCAAAGCACTCTCCTAAAGGTTTAAAATTTTACATTTAAATATTGTAAACCTGAATTTCATTATGCCTATTGTGTGCTTGCAAGTATTGCCAAACAAACCATTTATTTCCAAATATGGTAGAAAAAGTAGTAGCAAAAACATCATCTCTGTGAATCTTTGATTAAAGCTTTGTGCTGCTGAGAAATAGATTTTTGTATTGTAATCTATTTGATCTCACGAAGAGTGGTCATGCTGCAAAAAGCGTTGAACATAAACAATCGAGTCCGATTTGAAAAAAGAACGGCTATTTTTTGAACTTTTTAAGTACAACAGGCAGGAGCGAAAAGAACACATGCTTTTCTGCAAGTTCTGTTTGAACGGTGATGCCAGAGATGTTTGCAGAGATTCTCTTCTATTCACACCACCTTGAGAAGTCATACACAAATCAAAGCACCACATTAAAAAACGTGGTAACGAATTGCAAGTGCTTAATGAAAATTGTTAGATCAAAGCATGTAAAGCATGAGATATCCAACTCCAAAGCTGTAGTAAGGAATTTATGTAGTGTGTTAGTGTGTAATCCTACTTATTATTAGCGAGAGACTCTCTGTGTCTGTCTGTTTCGCTGTTTTAGAAAAAAACGTCGAACTAATCGGTCTGAAAATTTGACGTATATATCCAAAATTTTATGTAGTTTTCAAAAATGTTGTTATTTTGTGGATTAGACGGGCCATTTTCTATAAAAACGCGGTTTCTCGATACCCCTTGTGAACGTGGCCGAGTGGTCCAAGGCGGGTGTGTCAGTTTGGCACCAAAGAGGGAGTTCTTGGTTCGATCCCTCTGCAAAGCCGGAGTCTTTTTTTGAGCGTTTTGAACAACAGAAGTTGTAATAAATATTTCAAACTAACATTTCGATTGCATAAATAGATTAAAGCTAATCTTTGTTAAGCAACATTTTGTCATTTTTAAAAGAGATCTTGTTTAGCTTAATAATCTCTAAAATCACTAGAGTTTGTTCTATGCTGATTAAAAAAGTTCAATTAAAAAGCCAGATTCTCACTAGGAAAACGGACAACTTTTTCTTTCTCTTTTTTGCTTTAGAAACTGCTTTTTTTCGATAATGCTTTGAAGGAGCCCCAACACATCCAACCTTTGAAGTATAATACAAGAATTGCTTCAAAGTCTTAGCTAAAGCCTTATCCGTCTAGTTATTGTAAGCTTTCTCTTGGTTATTAGAGTCTAGTCTGAATTGTTTCTGTGACTTTGTCAAGTGCATTGCTGACTGCGGAGGCGATTTGGTGTTTACATTTAATTTTTTTCTCGAGAGACGTCAAACGAATGCCAATGAGTTGCAACCTTAACAGCATCTTGACCTATTTGATGAATGGAATCCTCATCTATTTCATTCTTTTTCACAGTCAATAAACTTCCCGCCTTTCAATCAACTTTTCAAAGCATACACTGAAGTAAAGTTCAAAACTAGAAACGACCGGTGATAAAAATTAAGACCAAAATTGCGCATTTGTAATTCAATTTGGTAAAAAGAGGCAAAAACGAAAGAATTTGGTTGTTCTTTGGAGGAAATGATCGTTCTTTCAGGCTGAAAATTCAAGAAGTAATGAATTTTTGCGGGGAACGCTGTAAACTTCGGTGACGAAAGGTCCATAGCTCATTTTGACAAGTTTCAAAATGACAGATCTGACCATCGTTGGACGATCGATCATCTATTTCAATGGCGGATTATCATATTTAATGAATGGAATCCTCATCTATTTCATTCTTTTTCACAGTCGAAAAGATATGGGCAACTATCGATATTTGATGTTATCGTTTGCCGCTTTCAATCTACTCTATCCGACGGTTCATTTGGCAGTAATGCCGGTGAGTCATCTTCTACTGATGTAGCCGGTATATTTAACATTTCCACAAAATAGCTTTAGAGCTGGACCAAGATCTAATTTTTCAGGTCAAGACACGTGAAAGCCAAGCCAAACCAAAGAAAACATATTTAAGGCAAATGCGTCAAAAAAAGAGTTTTCCAAAACAAACAAGAAAATTGGTTAGGGGAGGATTTGCATGAAAGCCAGAAAATTTCATAAGTTCCATAGACTAGCATATTATTCGCTAGCCTACAAAAGCCGTTGGAGAGTTTTGTTGTTGTGGCCTCGTAAAGAGTCCGAAATTTGATCAAATTTTCTATGCCAGATTCCTCGCGTTTGCGTGTGAGTCGGGAGCCAATTTTTGCAGATTCGGAATCAGCTTGCCCGATTCACTCGCAAGATGATTCGAATCGATTTTTAACGTCGAGCTGAGACCATTCCCTTGTAAACTGGATTTGGCTTACAATTAGCTTGACCAGCCTTGGCTTTGGGAAATTCTGGTCAGTTTTGTCTAGATCGAGAGCAAACACGCAATTTTGATGTTGCCCGCTAAAATTCAGTGCAACATTGGCTCAAATCCTCAATATTTCCTAGACAATGCACGCCTATGGATACGGCTATGCACTGATGCCCACATCGTTTTTGATGAACACCATCATCCCCGCACATTTGGGACTGTGCCTGTACGGAGCTCTATTTTCACAGGTTTGACCCTAAGCTCTGGACATCAAAACGATGCTTTGATGTTCTAACTCCAAAAATTTTCATTTCATTCAACTTTTCTTCGTCCGAATTCAGAAAATTTCATTTTGTACACTTTTCAGAAAAGGAATGGCTTTATTGGTAGCCATAATAGCCAGAATGAAATTTTTGTCCAAAAATCTTACTTTGCTCACAGAATACAGTAACCCAAAATGATCTAGTTTAACTAAGTCACAAAATAGAAAACACAAAAGTCTACAAAATCCTACTTTTAGAGTTTGTCCCTTCTCGAGTATCATTTCATCTATCGCTATCTCGCCATTTGCAAGTAAACCAACTTTCAATGGCTTGCATTAATCATTTCTAGAAGCAATTGCTTGTATTGGTTCAACTCGTGGAAATATTTCATTATTCATATTTTTATCTGGCTAATGATGGGCCTTGTTTGGGGACTGCTTACACACTTGTTCTTGAGCTCGCAGACATTGGCAGAACGAATTTTCAGTTTCCCACATCCAGTCGAGTATTTCAGGACCACTTCCGAGAACCACTTTGGGAAATTTATGGTTTCGATGTGAATAAGACGGCAATTGTTGGGCCTTTGTACAAGGCAAGCCAGCTTCTAGCCATTTTAAAAATGTAAAAAAGAATCTTTTAGCGCCGAAACGAACTCGGTGAAACGGTTTGGGACTGGACGAATCTCTTTGCTTTGGGCATTGTTCAAATAATACTCGGAGCTTCATTGGGAGTAATCATCTTTTGCACTTGGCAAATTCAAAAGACCTTAAAAGTAAGGCTTAGCCGGGTAAATAATCGTCAAAACAATTCTAGACCACAGCAATGAGCGAAAAATCGATCAGATTGCAACACGAGCTCTTCCGAGCGCTATTGGTTCAGGTAAGCCAGGAAGAAACTGCGAAAGAGCAATCTTTAACAAGTTTAGCCTTAAAAGCATCTTTTAAAAGTTCTAAATTTTAGACAATTGTCCCAGGGATCTTTGAGTATACTCCCGGAGCTATTGCTTCATTCTGTCCGCTATTTGGTGTCCCTCTTGGCCAATGGTGTACTCTGATTCCAATTCTCATCTCATTCTATCCATTTGTTGACCCAATCTGCATGCTATATTTTATAAAGGACTATCGTAATGCATTGATTTTTAAATTTGGTACAAGGTGTGTACTGGAGGTTGATTTTTTTATTTTTTTTGACTTTAGAATCAGAGTCTTGGAGGCAAATGAACGTAAGAGAGCACCATCTTTAAAGCTTTCAACAGTCGAAATCTCAACTCCACAGAAGAAATGATTCAATTTATAATTAAAAGACTGAGCCTCGTTCTTGGCGTTTCTTGAATAGAGAATTGTATTTTGTTTACCAAAACCTGATTTTTAAGCAACTAACTTCTTCTCTTCCTCTTTCTAACTTCTTCTCTTCCCTATTTCTTTGCGTGACCTTTATCTTTTTTCTCACACAGGTGGGTTCGCAAAGTTTTAGAAAACCGAAACTTGTTAATAAAAAGTAAAAACTTCAATAAAAACATGATATATTTGTTAAACCACAAGAACTAAAACGACAGCTGAATTCGAAGAAAATGCGAGACCAAAAGCACCTGTTCTCATCTCAGAATATTTAGTTCAGACAAATAGTCAATTTGGCAAGAAAATATCGAGTTTACTGGTCATAGAACAATGTTTATTCCAAGTGCATCGACGCAACAATGGATTTCAACAATATTTACTTACACTTGGTTTCTAGCAACTTTTCTTTTGCTTCTTACATTATATTTTCTCATAAGTCAAAAGACTTTTGCTACTCCTGCTTATCGGATTTTGCAGATCAACTTGCTGGTGAGTGGGTCATAATAGTAACAACATTGGTCTATTTAAAGCTGCGTCTCCTCTCTAAGACAAATTGGTCTCATCGATGCCCAGAAGACTACAAAAGATCATTCAAGCAAACGGAGCTGCTACAAAGTACTAAACTTATTGAATTTGCTTGATGGTGCAAGACTTTTTTTGCTTCTTTTTTTTTGTTGGTCGTTATTTTTTGTTGGTCTTTTGTTATTTTTTCTATTTTACTGTTACGAATAAATTTTTCACTTGTTCATTCGGAAACTAGACCACAATGGTAGACTTAGTTGCCAACAAGTTTTTTGCCAACACGCTTATTTTTGCAAAAAAATTTTTGTTTTAAGCCTTTGGGAGAAAATGGTGCAAGACTTTTTTTGCTGACTGTATTTCAGTTATTTCTACATGAAACTTCAACAAGAAATTAAATCTTACTTACAATTCGAATCGGATTGAACTGTTGGAGTTTAAAATCCGATCTGGAAGACTTTTCTTCGGCGTTTTAATTTAGATTGTCTCGAAGTAGCAGAAGAACTTTAGATAGCTGCCCAAATCACTGACACAAGTACTTTCCTATGGAAACCATTCTACGTAGCAGACCAATCGGCTATGATTTTATTGGACGGTACTGAATCGGCAAATGCGTTGGGCGTCTCGGCCCTTGTGGTGGGTATATTTGGTGAATTGTTCAATTGGTTTTCTCATTGTCTGTATAAATGTATAGATACCTTTTCAGCTTATGAATTTCCTTGGCAACCTTTATTTCATTGGGACTTTCTGTTTCAATGGAATCTATCGAACCGAGCACATTCACACAGAATGGAAAAAGATTATGAGATTTTTCTTCTACTTGACTATCATTACGCTAACTTATAGTGGTGTTATTATTGTTTTCACATTCTTCAGTTTGTATCTGGATGATTCGATGATTTTCGATCCGGTTACGGTAAATAGTCCACAAATTAGCTTGTCAACTTTTTAAGATTTGCAAACTAAAACCTCCGATCTGCAGCGTGAGCAATGTGGTTGTCGCAGATTTGTCACCAGTTGGGGTGATGATGTTTGAAATTGTACTACCTGGCCACGCCTTATTCTTTGTCCTTGTTAGCGTGCTCTCAACCTCAGCAATAGTTGACTTCGCTCAAAAGTCGAAAATGGCTTTGAGTCGAAAGACAAGAGAAATGCACTTATATTTTACTGTCATCTTTTTGTGTCAGGTATGCTTTTGGTAATTGACTTTCATACCATTATTTAGCTTTCTCTGACTTCTATATTCACTGTTTTTCCTTATGGTTTAACCTCACTAATTTTATTGCATTTTGTTGATGGACAGATCTACTCAATAAGTAAGTTATGGTTAGCAGAGAACTGAGCCGTTGTTGGAGAATACATTTACTTCAGTCTCTTCAATGGCAAGTCTCTACTCGAGCCTTCATTCAATTTCCAATTCACTCACCATCCTTCTCGCTACAAAATCTTATCGATCGATCCTCTTTGGATGGTTTCAGATGACATTCTTCTTAATATCAGGAACAAAAACTCGAAATCGAAAAAATGAAACCGTCAGAAACTCGACTATTGTGGTTCAGACCAGATAAATAGTACCCGTTGCTAGTACTTTTTGTACTTTTTAATTTCCTTTTGTTAGACAAGAATTGTAGAAGTCTTTCTTGAAATTCTAAACAAATACACCAAGCACAAGAAAAAGTTGAACAGCTTACAAAAAAGTTTACAACAACTAGATGCATAAGTCGTCTTACAAGATTTCAATTTGATGATGATTTAGTGATGATCTAAATGATGATTTAGTTTGACTCAAAGGGCAACTTTTGAGCATTCTACCCAAGTTCTACCTCAGCATTTTTTTGAGCATTCAAATCAAAAAAAAAGAAGAATTTGATCAAAAATTAGTATTTGGCAAAGTTTTACTTCCTATTTCAAAAACCAGCAGAAATTTGACACTGAGGGCATCCCCAGCGGAGTACTTATTGTTAGACTTTTTACTTCTAGGGACCTTTAGATAAACCGAAACCTGACTATGAGACTAAAAAAGATCCGACTTGACATAGTACCAGTGAAATTTTTGTCGATATTGGATTCATTTTTTCAATCGAACCCAAACTATGGAAGTAAGTGAAAAATTAAAACGAAATTACCGACTTTTTAGTTTAACTGGACTAGAGGCGCAAAAGATGATGCCAAAAAGACGAGATTGGTGATTGCAGTGAGTGTGGGAAATTCAGTTTGGAAGACGACGACGAAACGAGTTTAGACTCTTCCGGATCGGACGACGAAAAAAGTAAAAACTACAACGACAACATTGGCAATAGCCTCAACAACAACTGCATCTACGATGCTCATCAGCAAAATACATGCTTTTGCCATTTGCTTTTCTTACTTCATGGCTTTCCGTGCTAAAGTTTGGGCTAATCATTTTGAAAAGTACGAATTGTTTGTTCAATTGAATGCAAGCCATGAATGCCGATTTTTTGCGGTCAAACCTTATCAAAAACCCATTTCTTGTGCCATAAATTGAGGGCATTGGGATTTTTCCTCTAATAGACTAATAAATTACTTCTACTAGATTAAAAAATCGCCTCTAATAGGTCTTTCAAGAAGTGTGGCTTCAATTTGCGAAGCTTTGTTGAGTTTGGTCTTTAAAAATGTCGGAAAATATTGATTCTCAAATTTGATCACATTATCCACCGATGGAGACCCCGATTGAGTTATCACGGGATGACTTAACATGGTATGGACATAAAGGATCGGGATCCAAATTTCTGGTTAACTCTTTTCAGCCGTAAGTTTTCTTTATGAAAATTCAGTTATCTTTCAACTTTAGAGAGATTTCACTGAAATACATCATCACCAATGCCGATACTCATCGAAATATATTTCTCACTGAAGTGCAAGCTCTCAAACGATTGACCCATCCAAATATTGTACAATATCTCGGAATAGGCAGATTTAAACAAAAAGAGACAAATGATTGGGCTGAAGGGATCTTGATGGAGTTTTGCGAGCGAGGATCTCTGTCTCATTGTAAGAGTTGAAGGCGTTTTGACAATTTCCTTCAAATGATAATTTTAGTGCTGGACAAACCAACAATAATTTACACGATTCACACGGTGGTTTGGTGGACACGTCAACTAATCGATTCATTGGATTATTTGGCAAAGAACAAAGTGGTTCACAGAGACGTAAAGCCATCGAAGTTTGTAAACCATGGGTGCTATAAAAAACGATATTTAGCATTTTTGTCAGCAGATATTTCTGGTTAAAAATAGGAGACTTTGGATCAATCAAAGAAATCACTCAGTCGTGCTCATCTTTTACGACAATTGGTACATTGAGGTATATGAACAGTCGAAAAGTATTTGTGGGAAAAAGGTATTTTAGTTTTCTAACTAGTTAGTTAACAATCTACAAAATTTTGAATTAAAACTTGTCGCTTTCAAGCTATCATATCGGAGTGACGTCTACAGCATGGGCTTGGTCATCTGGGAAATGATCGAACGGAGGTTCTGCTAATACCTTATTTAAAACAGAACTGAAAAGTTTAAGTAATAAATTTCAGGAAAGTTTTTGCTCGTTTTGGCAGTCATTATCACTACGGGCTATTACCCTCCAATAAAAAACAACTCATCGATGTCGAGACGTTTGAATGCAATCATGAGATCAGATACATTGTAGAGAGGTAGGAGTTGAACGTCGATCCTTTTAAGGGTTGCGCCTGAGAATACAAAACATGGTCAGTGCCGGGAATCGAACCCTCTCGCTTACCGGGTGAACGCTCTACCGTATCCCAATGCCACCAGGGTAAGGCCTTATGCCTTGCCGTAAGAGGTCGAGATTTTGAAGTTTATCATTGGCAATGTAAGTCGTCAGACGGTCTTTTAGATGTACGGTTTTCGATGTGAATCAGCGTCCATGTGCAAGTGAACTAATGATCGAAATTGAGGCTATTTACAAAGTAAATTCAATGGGATTAATATCATTATTACTTTAGCGGCATGAAAACGAGATTGTGAGAAATGCTCTACCAATTGAGAATCAAACTGAGACTCGCCTGATCAAACCGATTGGATTCGATCGAACGGAACAGAAGATTTCCGTTTGTCATAATGACAGCCTCAATGGCATACGAATTGTGGACTACACCTCCAGAGAAAGCACAAGTACAAATCCGATTCAAGGTAACTTCATTTATTGATTCCTACTTCAATTTTTAAGAAGCCAGTCCTATGCAATCCTCCGAAACCGAATCTATGCAATCGAAACTTTTCGCAACTTTGGAACAAATTTTGTGAGTTTTCATCGAAAAAAATATGGTACTTATGGGTTTCCACAGTTTCACTTAGCATACGAGCAAAAAATACTAGCAGTGAAAGGAAGAAAAATAGGTATTTATTTTCTTTTCTCATGCTGTCGGGCTAGATGAATTTTTTCACTCAGAATCAAGTGATTTTAGACAAAAACTTGAACAACTTGAGCTCAAGGTTGATTTACTACAAACTCAAGAACAGGAAACTCGCCGAAAACTTGCATCATATGAACGTGGGTCTTTTGAATTCAAAAGTACAACATCAAATTCAGAAAAATATGCTTAGAGCGCCAAGCAATGATAGTGGCTACGTTGGCACTTCAACTCTGACCAGTTTTGCGCATGGTGAGTAGCGTGGGTAAATTAGAATAAATAGATTTAACGTAGCCAATAACGCAAACTCAGCAATAAAAGATTGCTCTAAAATTGCAGCTGGGCCACGGGTTTTGTCGGATTCGCCAAAGGCAGAAAACTCGTCAACCTCAACTGTGCATCCCTCGCAACCATTATCGAGAGATTCGTCGCTCTCATGTGGATCACTTGGTAAATAGTTATTGCTTGAAAAAATTGTGCTTAACAATAGTGTTGAAGGTCTCTGGAAAGTGTCCTGACCTGATATCGAACAAAGCTAGATTCAATAAAGTAAAATAAATCCGTAACTTTAGCGGAATCAGTGATTCCAAACCCTTATGAAAACATTTATTCGGCTCCCACTTATTCTTTTCGACCAAGATGGTTCTCCTCTATGTTTCTACCTCGATCACCCACACCACGTAAATTTCCCTTTTTAGTTTGCACAGAATTATGCACTCTTTTTTAACACAGCTCTTCACTATTTGAGCAAATTTTAACCATAACAAGCATATATCTTTTCAGCACCTCGGCCCGATTTTCTCAAAAAGAAAAAGAAGTTTTCTCTCAAAAAACTCTTTTTCAAATAATTCTTCATCCGCTGAAACAGTCATGCTGTGTTTTCTACAATATATACTTATTTAGTTCATTCGTTCATTTTGTGAGTTATACGTTTTGATAAAATTTTGTTCACAGAAATCGCGTCCGTATTAAGCTCAATTTAGAAAACGTAGACGATGCATAAATTCATAGAATAAATGATGAGATCAGTGCATAAAATGGTGATGAAATATCTCGATTGAAGAGAATTTTACAAAGATTGCGTGAATAGAAACAATCAAAATCTCAATAATCTTAAATTTACATAGAGATCAAAAAATGGACTGAATTCCATTAAACAGCCCAATTACATTTCAAAATCGAATACAATTTTTTTGTAAAGAATCACAATTACCATAAGAAACTACTGCATAGAAATTTTTTTTGACTTTACATTAAAGTTTAGACACTCAACCCCCTAATTCTTGGGGTTATTGTCGGGAAATGAAAGTCGTTTTCGAATAATTTTAGCCGAATCATTCCCGTTGACGAAAGTATAGATATTCAAGTAGTTGTTCTCCGTTTTCCCGACGACTCGTGGATCGTGCTTTTTTGTGTTAGAGTTCTGAACGAGTCAAGTTGAACACCTTTATATTGTATTTGGTTATAGTTTTTTTACAGCGCTTGGCCGTAGCTTTCTTCAAAACTGGAATAAAATAAAAAGAAACCACGGTGAAATCCCCGTGTTGAGAAATCGGGTAGTAGTAGATGGGCTGGAGACCTTCGAGGGTGAGAAGACGAACAGAACAACTGAAATTTTAAATTGAACTCATTGAAATCAGAACAGAGTTAAAATCTTGAGCCAAAACACTAATGGATGATTTATTTAGGTTGTCCGGTAGCTTACGATAGATTGATCATTGATCATTGAGCTTTGATCTAATAAGGCAAAGGCCGCAAGTTCGACCCATGCTGGTGGCTTTTAAAGTCTTACTGGTGGTAGATTCAATAATTTTCTACTTTCAAAAACTCACGACCTAAAAGAGCAAGACAGCATCCAAACCACGTCTCGGTCCACCCAAATCCCGTGCAATTTTTCTGAAGATGTTGCTATATTTTAGTTAACTTTCAAACTATTACCCAAAGATAGTCCCTCTCCTTGAAAACATTTGTGATCATTCTCATCGAATGGATCAATCAGCAATAGGGATCGGGTGAAGTTTTTGTCTTTAGGCTTCTTTTCGGAAACAATGGCGATTTTCTCGTTTGTGATGTCAAAACGCTGGAAAATCTATGTTTGCTTGAATATAATCAACAAAAGCAAAATGGTAGCTTAAAACGACCGGATCAAGAGAAATTCCAATGCTTTAATGGTTCAGTAACAGAAATACGTATTTGGGAGCGCTTACAGGGAAAAACCAACTTTGATTTGAGTTTGGCACATTTAAACTCACAACAGAGCTGATTCAATGGTAATTTCGCTGGGTTCGGTTCAGATCAGAAGCTTGGCCCGGTCAAAAAAACAAGCTGACCTGGCTTGTCTTTGCTACAGGACTGCCCTGGAATTCAGGCTTGGGCTGGTCTGACCTCCAGCAGACTTTGAGTTCCTGAGTTTGCCAGAATCCATCTCTGAATCAGACCAGACTCTGGCTGACTGGGAATCCAGACTAGCCGGCTTTACAGGGTATATAGAAACTCTGATTTTAAACCATTTTCTGCCAAAAAGAATAACTTTGAGGAAATCTAACAGTATAATACTAACTTTTGATGTTGACAATAAAATGCAAAAGTTTAAAAACACACAAGGACGTTATACGCGTCGCCACATTCGTGTGTCTCAATCGGAATCTCTTCTCCCATTCGATCCATCAAATAGGGCATTGTGTTGAAACGTTCCTGAGCAACGAGGTAATCCTAAAGTTATAATTACAACAATATTGTATCCGATGGCCAATTGTTCTATCCATATTCATAAGCTCACCTGTCCATTCTTTTTGAGAAACTCGGCGCGATAGAAAAATCCGGGAATCAGCATCCAATCGTTGTTCTTGCGCTGACTAGCACACGCAGCTGGAAAAGTTAGAGTGATTGACTTAGCGAGTTTTAAATTAGATAATGTACTTTCTTAAAACGTGTTCCCTTTCTCTCCTACCGTAATCTTGTCTCTAATTTGATCCAATCCTATTTTTTCTGATTTTGTGGGGGTTCACAAAGAATATTCGAAAGATGCAAAATGGGATAGATTGGGTAAAAATAGAGACAAGGTCACGGTAGAGTAAGAAGTTGACACGTTTTAGAAAACGAGTAAAGAAGACTCACTTCCATATTTGGGATCATAACAACACACAAAGTTCTCTGCCCATTTCGTCTCTTCGCATTGGAATTGACGCATCACCGATCGCAAGAAGTAGGATTCAGCGGGTTGAATTTGAAGCAGTTCATAGTCGTAACTTTTCACCTCATACGTACTCTTGCTGTAAAGATATCAGTTCTAAAAATATCTGAATAACAAACTATTGAATGTAGGTTTTCAGCTCGTTGCCTTTCCAGTAGTAATTCATTACATTTCCCTCGATATTGCGAGTTAGATTTCCTAAAGGGAATTTATTATTCTTACAGTCGACTTGTTCTTGAGTCGAATAGAACAAAATGTTCTTGAATTGGTGGATTCGTTTTTAAGAAATTCTTCCGTAGTCCCTGTAATAAAACGATCACTGGACAGCAGGCCCACTTTTCCAAACCAACAACTAAATCTTGAGACTTGATACTGGGTATTACGGTATTAGATTGTAAATACTACGAACTTCTAGATACCTACTTGTGAAAGGAATACTAGTTATAGGTCACTTAGATACTAAATACTACCGTAGTCTCTTTAATAGAGCAAACCACTTATGAGCAGATCTACTTTTCTATCAATCAACTAGGTTTTCTTAGCTTTCCCCAATAGGCGCCTTTTAGAAAACGCAGTGTTATACTAGTTGGGAGGCGCAGATGGGCATGGCTAAGGAAATTTACATTGAACGCGCAAGTTGTTTATTTTCTAGGTTTTCAAACACGTTGAATCGAATGAAAATGGTTTTAGTTGTGAAAATTTTCAGGAACTTTATGAATAACAACTTATTGATCAACAAATAACAACAAAAAGCCTGGTAAAGTGGATAACGATTAGCAGCATCTTCCCAAAACAAATACAAAAGTGCTGCTACTTCCAGAGCACTTCAAAGAAATGATGTTCCCACAGTTCATCTTTAAGCCCATTGAACATGTTGATTTTATGTTGAAGCTGTAATCACACACACTCAATATGTTGAGTATGGACACCAGTTACCGGACCGACAGATTTTTGCGAATGGTTAACTGTGCGGTGCACATATCCCAAGCTATAAAGATTATTATAACCACTGCGTGGTTCCAACAACTGTGTGCACCGTGGTACCCGGTAAAACATGCTTTTGTGGCTGCATCTCGGACATCGACCACATTACGGTAACAAATTGCAAATACTATAAAGGCTTACAATTAGGTACTTAAGATATAATTACTAAATATTAAGACTTACCCTCATATCGCAACATCGAATCACCATCGGGATCTGGCTTCGGCCAAAAAGAATAACCCAAAACCACCAGAAGTACCACGAAACCAAAGATAACGGTAGCTTTGAGAAAGTGGACGCCTTTGAAATCAAGCGAGACGCAAACTAAAAGTACGCAAAGTTACTGTCACCAGGTTAAAAACTGTGTTTTCTCAATGCTTTTTCTAAAAAACCCCTGAAATTACCGTATTACAGCTGTTAGTTTCCATTCGATCAGCCCAATTTTGGGATCATTGACTGAGCCTTGTATCATTCTCTTGTATCTCTTTCTTGTATTGCCTTCTTCTTCATTCCTTTTTTTATCATTCGGCTTGGTCAAAGATACAGAATTGGGATAATCGGATGACAACTGGAGGTATGGCTACGGTAATTTTTGCAAATTATGGTAGGTTTGATTACGGTTGCTTTCTGAAATAGGTGTCTTTTAGATAAGGCATTAGCCGAGATTTGATATTCTAAACAAACCCCGTTTAAGCCATTTGTGAACGGTCGATTCTTTATTTTTGAGTGACTGTAGTGAAGTCATCGAGCGATTTTTGAATCCAGCGACACCTAAAGCTTTAAATTCCATCAAATTTCCTCATTTCACATACTTTTAGTGAGATTTTTCGTCGAGACCGAGATGGTGGTTGGACTGGGCTCGGTGACTAAATTGAAAAGCTCAAAAATTGCCAGATAACTCAAATTTTAACCTATTCAATCAACAAAACTCACAGCAATTTCCAAAGGGTTCCGATGTAGGGCCACCATCAGAGTAAATCTCCATATCTTCTTCTCGACAACCACTGCCAGAGCCAAGAAGCGGGGTTGAGGGTTGGCTAAAACTTATGACTGCAATCTTAATTGGACAAGTCCTTCTTGAAACAAGCTACAGTAACTTTCATTTAATGACTTTTTAACTTTTTCCGAATCACTACTCGGATGGCCTAAAACCTCGGCAACCGTAACTGTTAGATGATATCATAATTTGGTTCAATTACCTAACTTGTCAGCGTTTGGATCAAGTGTTCTACGGCTTATTTCACATTCCCCAACCAATTTATCAATTACCAATTTATCAATATCAATTTATCAATCTTTTTACCTTTAGTGCTTAGTACCGTGTCGACTTCTTGGCCCACGGTAACCTGGCTTGCAAATTACGGTAGCCGAGACATACTTTAGACATACTTTAGTATTCGGAAAAGTGCATAAATATTTTAGCAATGTATGTCACTTCTTTCAGTCAAGCTGTTGTTTAACTCATTTGCGACGATGGTATTTTGAGCGTACAGTCGCTTAGTCGTTACTGTTTTACTGATAGTTTGGTGAAAATTCGAAGATAAACTAAACTATTATATTGGGTTGGGGAGAATGAGTCGGCGCCGAAAATCAAAGAAATTTCTAAAACTTATAGCAGACTTTGTCAAATGATATGCGTTTGATATCCGTAGAAGGGTAACTAATTCTCTACAAAATAATATTTAAAAGAGAACTCAAACAGCGCCTCAACTCAACAAAGGATCATTTTTTCACAAAATCGATAAACTGTCATCTAGAGTAAACGGTTGGAGGGATCTTCCTGAAAATTTGGTAACTTATGTAATTGAATGTGTTTATCTTTTTTATATAAACACCAAAGGAGGTTTATGTGGAAGAAACTGTTCAAGCAATGAGTCGGACTTTTTGTCATTTTGATTAGCTGTGTTTGGGAATCCATAAAATCCCAAAAAAGAAAAGCTTTGTGGAATCTCTCAACAGCCATTTTGTAAAAAAATAGTGGACCATTTTGATGAAACAAAACGTGTATTTAAAGAAGGTTTTATGGGTGCAAAAAGTTTCTTTAAATTTCGGCGCCGACTCATTCTCCCCAACCCAATAGTTATTCGATAGCCCTGAATCTCCTCATGAAAACTAGTACAAAGTTACCAAGGACTTCCTACGAAACAAATAACAAAGTCCTTAAAAACTCGAGTTGACACCAAAAATAATCGTCATTAATATGGGTCGTATTTTCGTGAATGCATGAATAATTATCAATTGGAAGTTGTATCATTTTGTGTTGAAAAAACCTGCGTTCATCGTTTTCCCTTTGTAGCCGTAAAGCCTCTTGTTCGGCTTGTTCCCTTTGTAACTGTGCAAGTTGTTGCCCTCTAAAAGATTTGCCCTCCAAGATTTTATAACACTTGATATTTTTTTTGATTTCATAACATGTTTTAAGAGATACACACACCTCATTGCGTGTTGAAATTGTCTATAGCGCTCGTTTTCTTCATCGGAAACCCTTTGCCATTGGTGAACTATAGGGAACACTCGGGGATCAACTGGTGGATCATAAGGCCTAAAAATAAAAAGCTTTGTTATGGAATTTTAAGTTTCAGGACTTGGATTAATTTTGCAATTAATAGTTCGTTTTCTGAAACGTGTCCCCTTTTTCTTTCTATCGTAAACTTATCTCTAACTTTATCCAATCTTACTTTTTGCTGATTCTATGAGGATTCACAAAGGTCAACGAAAGATACAAAAGTAGACGTATCGATCAAAAATAGAGACAGGTTTACGGTAGAAAGGGGAAAGGGACATGTTTTAGAAGGCAATCAAAATATAGACTGCAAATCTCCACCAAATGTTCGATGGTGGAGCCGACCCGGAAAACTCGAGCTCACTTTCTTCAGCAATGAAGAATTCTTCACTCGGGGCTCCACTGTCAATTTCTCTTCTTTCTGAAAGAAATTTTTTGGAATTTGTGCGTTCCGACCCAGCCAAACGGTTTCTATTTACCAATTCTAGCAGCATCGATACGTATCAAACTGATACGTAACAATACTTCCGCTGCTTCTAGGTAATAGAATAGTAATCAGGCATATGGAATACGGTAACATCTCGGCTGCCGTGGCCCCGAATACGGATACGAATTACGGGTTACAGTAATGGGGCCATGCTTTAGACCATTAAGGCTAGGGATTAGGGTAGCAGGTCTAAGGATTACAAGCCAGGACAAGTTTTAGGCAATCAGGGTACGTTGTTGTAATCAAAATCTAGACCCATTCACAACTCACTTACCCATTTCATCTTCCGCGGAAAGCCGATTGTTTGTGTCACCCATGGTTGACCTAAATACCGATTTCAATCAATATTCCAATCCTTCTTGCGCAAGAAATTGTAAACTGACGAGTCATCATTGCATAACAATAACTGCATAACTGATAAACAATGCATAACAATGCATAACTGATAAACAATCCCAAACAATCAAGTTAAGAAATTAAGGTAATTTTTAAAAGTAAAATTTTGCGAAAGTATCGATTCGGGAACGAATGAACAGCGCCTTTTTTGAAGTCGGCTTATCAGTAGAGGAGGCATGGATCGGGCATTTTCGACAGCCTCCCGCACCAGAAACAGAAAGAACCCTCACTCCGATAAAAAAAGAAATGAAAAGGTGAAGAAATTTTCTAATTTGCAATTTGCGGAAGGTCACATGAGGGCCAAAAATTGAGCGCCGTTCATTTGAGCTCCGTCCATTTCAGCGCGTTCATTTGAGTACCGCGCCAAAAATGATTGGAGAATCATATTCAGTGCCGAATCAGCCCTCTACGTGTATACGTGTTTTTTTTGCATGATTTCAAGAACTTTACTGCACGCTTTTATTCAATTAGTTAACACGCAATAACAATAACAACAAAATACGCATGATAAAGAAGAAGTGCGCAAAAGCAAAACAAACAAATCACATAAAATTAACAAAAGAACACAAAGCTTTCAGATGATCAAACGGTGATTTTCCCAAGGGTCCATTTTTTTAATCACCAGCTTCCGTCGTTGATGAGCAGTTCGAATTCGTGATGACTGTGGAGAGAGTTGAGGAAGAGACAAATGCTTTTGTGCAAATACAAAAACCTTGAGTATTTTTCTATTGTCGATCAAAAACGAGCACAATTGTCATGGTGCAGAAACGGGACACCTAAAGTTTAAGTAACATGTATCAAGATAAATCAGTTTACGGAAGTATCGGTGTAGATCAATCCTTCGAGCCAGAGATTTCATTATTGTTAAAAATGTTGTTAGCTTTGATTCTCTTTTTATGATCTAAAGTTTAAGTCTATTTAAATCTTTGAACAAAAACATTAAAAACAATTTTAAATCGCATGAGGTATATAGATTGTAGCTATTGAAAATTGTTGTTTTTAAGAAAATTTTCGATCCTATAGCCGTCTCGCGAAGCGATACCGGACTTCAGGTTGGAGTCATTCCCTTGTAAAGTAAATAAATTTCAAAACAAAGAGATTTGCCAACAATATTTGTTGAGGATACGGAAGCCAACAAAGAAAATTTCATTTTGCAATGAAAATTTATTTAAAAACAAAATGATATCATGCGGAAAATCAAAGCCAAAACACAAAGCAATCATTCCAGAAAAAAGGGAAATCCTTTGCAAAGGAGATAAGGATTTTATGGTTTTCGACAAAAACGGTTTAAAATTCCAAAACTTTATGTAGTGCTTTTTGAAGGCAATGGAAATATGAGCACGCAAATAAGTGCTTATAGTGAATATGTAACAGTTCGTACGGTGTACCCCTCCCAAGCCTTTTTCTAAAACATACCCCTTTCTCTTTCTATCGTAAACTTATCTCTAACTTTATCCAATCTTACTTTTTGCTGATTCTATGAGGATTCACAAAGGTCAACGAAAGATACAAAAGTAGACGTATCGATCAAAAATAGAGACAGGTTTACGGTAGAAAGGGGAAAGAGACGTGTTTTAGAGACGTTAAATATGAAATGATATCCCTCCAAAAAGGCCTACATGACCTCAAAAGAGAGCCGCAGCATTTCTCAGGCTGAATTTGCTGTCGCTTGTTCTCCTTTCCCCTGATTTTCCTTTTGACCAAATGTGCCCACAAAAAGACAACGGCTGTTCGCGTTTCATGTCATTTTTTTGAGGCTTCTTTTTACTTTTTAAAAAAATATCTGCATGAGGCCAAGAAGCTTGTTGAAAATCTCTTGAGCATTTAAGAATTGTTTTGGAATAGAACTGAATGTATTTTTGTTGTGCAATGAAATATTTATTGAATAAAAGAATGAAAGACTTATTGGAGATCGTTCCTAAACAAAAGTGATCAATTTTCAATTCACCTTCGAAAATGGCTAAGATATGGAGAGTAAAGGAGACGACGGATACGGAGATTGCCACGAGCCGGCCAAAGGGTCTGAAAATGAAGAATTTCAATCAATTGTCTCTGGCTTTTTTTATGGGGGCGCGAGGTCGGGTAGTAAAAAAAGGTGACTATACTCTAGTCTAATGTGGTGTTCTAACACCAAAATTCACACATTTTTTCATAAAAGTGTCAAAGAATTTGTTCAAGGTCAACAGTTAAACGTTTTTTGACAAAAAATGAGTCATAAAGGGAAATGACGTGCCCCTTTTTGGGGTGAAGGGACTCCTATTATCTCACACACGATCATCGTTTGTGTGGGTGGGGATATGGAGGGATCTGGCGGGGAAATGGTCGATATTGATCCCATTCATTCATCGGACAGTGTTTGGGTTCTGCTTTTGTAACATTTTTGTTTATGTGCCAATTTTGCAGTGACTTGAAGCCATCGACCCGGAATCGGTCTCGTTTGCCCAGCATTGGTTTTGGATTTCCTTAATTGGCTTACCCAATCAAACTGTATTTTGTATCATTCGCAAGCCTAAAATCTCCTCTATACAATGATATAAAAGGCTAACAATGATATTGTCTCTGGATAAAGTTATGTGCTATCAAAGCATAACAACTCCTTCAAAATACCTGAAAACCCTACAAGAGCCTTTTAGAAAGGTCTCGTAATCCCAGTTTATTTTACCGTGACCCTGCCACTTTCCAACACCAGAAAAATGTAGCTTTTTTCACAAGGGCACTTTTTGAAAAAATTTAGAATTTGGCTTATTTCTTGAATGCAGATTGTGTTATTTATTTTCGGCCACCTGCCGAAATTTTTTTCGATGTTTTGTCTTCTTCAAAAATCGAATGATTCATCGTTTTTTCAGAAAAGAAACCGAATCCACTCTATTGTTTATTCATTTTTCCGTAAACTTTCAAAGAGTGAATTGCTGGGAAATTTTCCAAATTCCCAATTTGATTCAATTGTCAAAAGAAATTTTGTTATCTAATTGTAAGTTATATTTAGATTATGATATCATGTATTTAGAGTTGTTTCGAATAAGGCAAGGACGAGGCTAGTCAGGCCTGACTTTACTGAAAGCTGGTCTGACTTACAGACGAGGCTCCAAACCAAGTTCATTATGACTTTAATTGTAAAATCTTTTGTAAAAAAAGTAAAATCTTTTGATGACTCATTTTTTTAATTGGCTCTGCTCTTGGTAAAAATAAACTCAGTTTTTGTTTATAAATATCTTCACAAATAAATTGAAATCATTTTGCTCGATGATTCATCATCAGATTTTGTTGGTTATTGAGATTGTCGTTCCCTCAGCAGGGTTGTACCGGCTCGGCAAGCCGAGTACGGGCCCGGAAGCCAGGGTAGAGCCCGGTCAGAATTTACTGATACCTAACTTGATTTCAATGTCAACTTGTGTGCTACTTCGTTCCTAACCTCGAGGATGAACCGATTCGTACTTGTATTCTAGTTACCCTAAGACCTATAGTCCTGGGTCTGTAAACAAAGTCGGGTTAAACCAGAGCTCTGGCTTCTAATGGACCCAGGAATTTTCGAGGGGAACGCTTGTGTCAGAAGTGAGATCTAGGTTTGGTCATTGTCTTTGGAACAACCAGTTGCTAGAAAGTATCAAAGTATTCAATTCAATGCTAGAAAGTATTCATGAAATTGAAATAAACCTTAAACAATTCCTATTGCAAAATGACTCTTTTTCCTCTCTTTCCGTTGTCCTCATTTTTCTGATTGTAATGATGACGAGATGAGACAACAAACAAACAGTTCGGTTCCTTTTCCGGTTTAGTCTCTGCTTCACTTTTCTCTCATCCACTCATCTCAACCGGTCACTCAACTTGTTCGACCAACTCGCACGAAACCAACAAATCAACTTCAATAACTTTTGAGATTTTGACTCCTTTGCCATTTTCGCTTGTACCAAAGCTTATCAACATACCATTTCTGGCGCGCTGAATTCTTCAGTTTTCTCACAGCAATGACTTGTGTCACAAGTAAAATGAAGAATTGAGTGCGACAGAAAGAGTTTGTTTCCAAAAATTGAGCACAAAGTGTAAGTCTATTATAGGCCTACAGAACTTTGGCACATTTTATACAGTTGAGTAACTGGATCAATGAACTGAGCTTCTTTGGTTTGCCAGAAGTTCTTGTGGCTGTACTTTGTGCCCCAATGCAAACACACCATTTCCGGGGCCGAATTCGTCATTTTCTCGCGAAACTAAGCACTGTTAAAAAAATCCAGTCACCAGAAAGGATGTGTTTCCAAACCCGAGCACAAAGTACACCACAAAGTACATCATCAAGTCCAGTGAACTATCCGGTTTTCTTTTTTCTCAAATCTTTTTCTCTCTCACTTTTTCGATTTTCTCTCCTTCTGTTTGCTCGGCTCGTCTAGAAATTCGCTGAAAAAATAGTATTTGATAGCTCAATATTTCACCTAAAAACTGTTAACTACCTATTTTTTATTATCTGCTAACAATTATCTATTACTGTATTTTAAAATCTCTACTTTTACTCTAAAACTTATACACTTTTATGCAAACCTCATCAAAGCCAAGCTCCCGACAAAATGTGATCAGCGAAAGGGTAAAAAATATTATCTAAAGATATTTTATTAGCTGAATATTTTATGCTATTGCATGAAAAATCTCTATTTTTCTATATTTTCCATTTTTTTTCATTGAAAATCAATGTTTTCATAGAGATTTGCATATATTGAATATTGAATTGAAAAAGTGACTCCTTTTGTTGGATATCTAACTTCATTTCTAAAAATATCTAAAATACATATTTGAGATTATGAAATATTTTCATTATTCAGCAGCTAATGTTAGCTTTTTTTTCCAATGTACGCACTTTGTGCTCAAAAAACACACCATTTCTGGTGCACTCGACTCTTCACTTTTCAGCCAGAATTGAGTGCGCCAGAAAGGGTATGTTTACACTTTTTGTACACAAAGTACACAACTTGCAATAATCACCAGTTTAGCACACCGAAAACAAATTCAAAGGCCGTTTCAATTACCCAGTTCATTCGCATTGATTGGATTAGTTCTTGCATATACTTTGTGCTCAAATCTGTAAACGTGCTCTTTCTAACGCACCAAATTTCTCATTTTCTTGCGACAGCGGATCCTTACTTTGCGAAAAAGGAGGAATTCAGTGCAACAGAAAGGGTGCGTTTACAAAATTGTGCACAAAGTACACAATAGAGTTGTAGCGAAAACATCTTTCGGTCCTTTTTTTGCCGTTGGCAAGTTAAGGTTTTTCTCAACACTAACCCTCGATTTTGACTATCATTTGACGCAGAATAAAATCGCGTGTCGAATGAAACCAAAATAAACTCAAAATGTGATATCCACGCAAAGCTGTTGACTAAAAACCTAAACCCCCTCCCCCATTATGGGCGGGAACTAACCTTTTGCCTCATAACTTTGCATGGATATTATATTTGAGTTAATTTTGATATCATTTTACGCGCAATTTGATTCTGCATCGAATGATAGTCAAGATAGCCAACTTTGAAGGGTTGATGCTGAGAAAATCACGAAAAATCTTAAAATACCAACGGCAAAAAGAGGACCGAAAGATGTTTTTGTTTCAAGTCTACTACACAAGAATCCTAGTTCAAAATCTTTTTAAAACTTTAACACTTGCATATTTTCTGTTTTTTAAACTCTCATAACATTCCTCCTTTTCAGGAAAATCCCCACTCGACGAGTGGTGGCTATTTCTGTGTATTGATGACTCAAACGGGTTGTTGTCTCGGTCTGGCCGCTCTTCTTTACATCACACTCACGATAGGCACTGGTTAGTTCAAAAGAAAAACCTTGGAAATAAAAATGTTCAAAAAACGTTCTAGTGTTCTGTTGTACATGTAGTGTTTCCTTGATATCTTTAATGTTGATGTTACTATTTGAGTAGCTGACAAAGTTGATTTAAAAATTTATTTAAACAGACGAAATATTGGGTAATCCTGTTTGAAAACAAAAAGGACAACAAATCCGAAAAGGTCGACAACAAATTTGACTAAAGAGAAATAATGCTGTGAAATGGCGGACAAATAGGGCAGGAGGTTCGCACTTTAGAAAACACTGAAGTTAACAAAAAAAATAATTTGTGGGAAATGATTTAAAACAACTATTATATTCCCAACATGCTCATTAGTGATTTTAATATTGACAAATCATTTCCAGTGCTATCCTATTATCATGTGATATCCCACATGTTATCAACTATCAGCTTTGTTCCATTTCTAACTTAAAAACACATTAAACTGAACTTTATTTAGGCAATGCAATCTAAAGTTTCCATATACTAGGTTGATGCAAAAGAAATTTCGCTCGGTTCCTTTCGTATACTTGTACTTTTGGATATTTACTTTATTTTTCTGCTTTTTCTAAATCAGTGCTTCCCCTTTTTAATTGATGTTTTCTTTAGATCATAATGGAGTCACGTTTCGATCAGCCACCTCTTGCTTCTCAAGTCGAAAAGAAGCCATTTTTTTGACGATGAACGAGCATTATCAAGATAATACTTATCGAGTAAGACAATGGCTCAGCAAGGGTCAAATGCCAATTCCAACTCCAAAGCCGGATTATCATGGGCACAAAGTGGTGTTGTATTGCTGGTGAAATATCAACGGGCTTGGTGATTTCGAATTATTAGAGCCCAGAAAAACAGTTGATTCGCCTTGTTTTATTCAACAGCTCAAGAAGGTTGACCAAATTTTGCGTCAAAAGGATTTAAATCCCTCGATTGTCAAAAGTTATGTCACAACGCACCAACTCACACAACGAAAGCTTTATGAAGTTAGAAGAATTCGGATGGAAGGGCTTACCACATGCACTATGTAGTCCAGACTTATCACCATTTGATTTTCACCTCTTCAGATCGATGCAACATTTCCTTGCCAATTGCCGGTTTAAGAATGCGTAAGAGGTCGAGATTTGGGTGACCAACTACTTTCAATCACAAAACCAAGAGTTCTTCGATAAGGGGATCCGCAATCTGAAGCAACGTTGGAGGGATGTTATAGATATAACGATGCTTATTGTTTGGAATAAATTGTTACCTAAAGGAATTCTGATTAAATTTAATGTTTGTAAAAAAATTAAACTTCTTTGACATCAACCTAGTAATTCAGATCAGACAGTTGTTCTTGGCCCAAATCGCTTAGATTCCCAATTTGTGGGATATAACAGGATTGTACCTTAATTTCTCGATTTTGATCCTTTTTAGTCGAAATCCTTTCATTGTTCCCGAAAACGAGAGGTTTGTTCTGAAAATGGGAAGGTAAACGGCTTAAACTTTAAAAATAAAAGCTAACCCTTTCGGTTCTATGGTACAAGTACAATACCGAGCAAAAGTCTTGCAACATCACTTTTTCAAAAATTTATTAAATTTTTTTATAGAAAATGCCACCCGATCGTAGGGCTTTTTGTTTTTAATTAGAATAATACATGTAAACTTTATTTACAAAAACAAATTTGAAGTCCAGCGCAAAACAAAAAAGTAAATGAGGAAAAATGAAAAAAAAAAGTGAAAAATTAATATTGAATCTGTCCACCTTTTGCCAAAATCACTTCCTTAAGTCGTTTATGCATAATTCGTGAAGAATTGCTGATCGGATTGAGCTCTTTTCGTATATAAAACCATAAGTCAACTTTTGTGTGAAAGTCTTTTCCTCGGAACTTTCTCTTCACGTAAGCCCATAAATCCTCAATAACGTTTAAATCAGGCGACATATGGGGCACATTGACCAACAAAACATTATGAAGGGCAAACCATCGAGGGAGATGAGCTTTTCCTCCATTTGAAAGATTCACCGTGCGACCCATCATGAACTTGCTCTTGTAAACCGGCGAATTGTCCTGGTAGAGAAACCATCCAACGGCCATGTGATCCTGAGCAAATGGAAGCAGACATCCTTCTAGTATTTCCATATACTGGCGGGCATTCATGGTTGACTGGACGAGAACGAGTGGACCTGCCACATTTTTTGCCATTGCCCCTAGAAAAGACAAATTAATGCATGTATTATTGGGTTGGGGAGAATGAGTCGGCGCCGAAGATCAAAAAAATTTCTAAAACTTCTAGCAGACTTCGTCAAATAATACGCGTTTGATATCAGTAGAATGGTTAACTAATTCTCTACAAAATGACATTTAAAAGAAAATTCAAACAGCGCCTCAGCTCAAGAAAAAGCCATTTTTTCACAAAAACTACAAACTGTCATCTAGAAAAAACAATTGGTGGGATCTTCCTGCAAATTTGGCAACTTATGTAATTGAATGTGCTCTATCTTTTTTGTATAAACACCAGAGAAGGTTTATGTGGTAGAAACTGTTCAAACGATGAGTCGGACTCTTTGCCATTTTGAGCAGATGCGTTTGGAAGTTCATAAACTCCACGAAAGAAAAGCTTTGTGGAATCTCTCAAAAGTCATTTTGTAGAGAAATAGTGGATCCTTATGATGAAAGAAAACGTATATTTAAAGAAGGCTTTATGCGTGCAAAAAGTGTCTTTAAAGTTTGGCGCCGACTCATTCTCCCCAACCCAATAAAAGTGCGGCCTACCAAAACACATGATTGATCCTCCGCCAGCTCGTGTTGCAGGTCACACATATTTAAGGAGTGTCAAGTGGTTGCCTTTTGGAGAAAAGATCCACTTTTGTTTCATCGACAGAAATCACGTTGGCCCAATCCTGCTTTGTCCAACTTTGGTACGTTGAATAGAAGCCGTTGTTTCCTGTGGCCGGCGGTCATAAAAGGCTTTTGTACAGCCCTCCGCTTTACAGTCCTGCTTGAGTCAATCGTCGAGAAATGGTCCATCGAGAGATATCCTTGTTTGCAACATCCTGGATCAGTCGAGTTCCCTCAGTTGATATCATATTCGGATCCTTCATGGAAGCCATCATGAGTATTCGATCCTCTTTTGCTGTTGTTGTTCTTCTTGACCGTCCTTTCTTCTCTCTTCGGTGCATAAGTCCAGTTATTTTTGCTTTTGAAACAATGCGAGAAACGGTCAAAGGATCGCATTTGAAGAGATCGGAGACAACGGCTCGAGAAATTTCTTTTTTTCTTGCTTTCATGATTTTTCTTCTTTTTCGGGGGTCGTCAAGTAGGTACCTCGCATCTGAAAAAAACCAAAATTAGTGTAAATTAATAAATTTGAAAACATTAAAAATGAGAAACATAGAATTTTGCAAGACTTTTGCACCCAGTTTTTGGGGTATTTTTTAATAGTTTTCTCATTTATTTTTGTTTTGCGCTGGACTTCAAATTTGTTTTTGTAAATAAAGTGTACATGTATTATTCTAATTAAAAACAAAAAGGCCCTACGAACGGGTGTCATTTTCTATAAAAAAATTTAATGGATTTTTTGAAAAAGTGATGTTGCAAGACTTTTGCTTGGTATTGTATGTTACAATTGCTTAACGATGGTACAACTCGATTACAGTTGGTGTTTTTAGATTAGCAATTTGAATTTAAATATCCAACTTTTATTCAAGTGTGTATCTATGCTTTCATGAACGAATGCCGGCTTTGGGATTCTCGCTTTGCATTTTGCATTTTAAATTCGTTTAAAACGGTTGATGTAATCGAATTAAACCTAGTTCACGAATAAACATTGAAAATCAAAAGTTATTCAGCTTACTCCCAGCAAACACCACCCGTTGTCACGGCTGAAGTCTGTTCAAAGGGATCGAAGGGATGCACACAAAAGGATTCAGCGCTCCGATTTTTGCTGATTGGTGACACGGGAGGTGGGTGAGGGCGAAAAACGCAATACAATAGGATTTAAGTGCTTAAACTTTGGATTAAAATCAAAACTGGAACAAAGCTAAACCTGAATCTTGAACATCAGTTGATATACATTCGATATCGGACATTGGAAAAGTTCGAAACCTGGTTCTGAGTCTTGTTTGATGCAGCCACTCTGTTTACTGTAGTTCAATTACTGTAGCTAAGTTACTAAACAGAATTCGCGAACAATTGAAAAATAGAATGAATAAAGAAATTCTGGCTTTAATTTTTCTGGACTTGGTTATCCAATCGAACTATATTGGTGTCATTAGAAAGCCTGAAATGTCCTCGTTACAAAGATATAAAAAGCTAACAATAATGTTATCTCTGGTCAAAGCTATAGACCATTAAGGCCCGGCCACACGTTCAAAACGTCCAGATTTTGCCCAAGAACCTTTTTTCCTTTACAGGCCTTCCCATTTACCCCTACACGACATTGGCTCAGGGTACGGTAAGGGATACGATGATTCGACTCACCGAACAAAATAAGGTACAGTTTAAAGGCATTAAAAAAAGAGCTAAGCAATCATTTTACTTTGATACAGTAAGATCCTAAAATTTTAGCAGTAGAACTGTAAGGCTGAATATGGATAACACTGTGAAACTAGCCACAATTGCAAAAACGGTAGTCTCCGGTGAACTTCTCGATCAGTTCGAACAGTTGCCCTTATTTTGAATTACAGTAAGATTCTTCATTTCCTAGTCAGATGCTACCATGATCGACTGACTAAGAGCCCTGTATCTTAGTCGGGATGTCAAGAATTCAATCCAGCCGACTTGATTATTGGTTCCATATATATCGATTGTTTCTTCCTTACATTTACGGCTTAGGGGTTGTACTTATGTATTGTTTGTACCACATTATTTGTGTCAATAAATGTATTTTTTTATCTCAAAAGTATCATTCAGGTGCAATTGGTCTTGAATGTTGGGGATAACATCTATTTCACTGGGGTCGCCAACGAATTCGATGCGCGGTTTGAGGTGAATCAAAGGGTGAAGCTGAAAATAGATTTGTAACTTCTAGACTTCTTTCGAAGAAGTTTACAATCATCCGATCTTTGACGGGATCCCATTTTTCACCATTGCCGGCAATCATGACCACTTTGGGAATGTCTCAGCGCAGATTGCCTACACAAAGTACAGCAGGAAATGGTTGGTGTAAAGCTATTTAAACGCATCTCTCCTGGCTCACTTCAATTTTTATCCTTGCCTAACAACTTTCAGGATGTACCCCGATTACTGGTACAAGTTCAACTACACGTTGAGCGATGGGACGACCATCGATTTCCTCATGATCGACACAATTGTGCTGTGTGGTGAGGGAATATCTACTATACCTATTCAAGGACTCTAGAATTGAGCCTGAGCCTAAGCCTGTAAGCCAGGGCTAGCCCAGAAGCCAGATCCGGCTTAGATGCCTTCTAGCTAAGCTGGAGTGGAGCCAGGCCAGGACCTGAAATTTGGCCCCAGGACCTGCGAGCTAAGCCAGACCACTAGGATCGGGCTCAGAAAGAAGGTCAAAGTCTGGCTTTTGAACCTGAACGTTTCATGGGCCAGCCTGGAGTAAAGCCAGGACAGTTTAGGCTAGGCTAGACCAGGATCAGGTTCAATTATGGTTTCTCGTGGACCCAGGAGTCAGCCTGAAGCGAAAGCCAGGCCAAGACCGGATACTTTGCCGGGGCCTGGCTTTGTCTAGACTTAGCCTAAAACAATCCTGGGTATATTCAGTACACATATATCTAATAGTAAGCTAAAAAATATCGAAAATTATGAATGTGACCTTAAACATTTCAGGCAACACAGCCGACGTGGAGTACGGCGATTTGTGGGATCTCTTGTGGAAAGGAAGCAAAGTGCCAGGTTCGGAATATTTTCTAGATATCCGGCATCAATATCTAAATCTAAAGTAGGACATTTTCTTATCCATTCTCAATTTCAGATGGTCCAAAGGACAAGAAAATGGCGGAGAAGCAGTGGGATTGGATCGCAAAAACGCTGAATGAGAGCCGGTGGGGATTCTTTTTTAGATAATTTTCTGATAAATAAAATCTATCTAAATATCTATTATCCAGATCTTTATTATCTAATTTTTAGAGCTGATTACCTCTTCGTTGGTGGTCACTACCCGGTCTTCTCGATGTCAAGTCACGGGCCGACTCAGGTTTGTTTTAAAGGAAAACTTTGATATTTAGATATAATTAGCATAAAATAGAATACTATACTACTTGAATTTTTAAAAACATTAGACTTTTTATCATTTCAGTGCCTCGTGGATCGGTTGAAGCCACTTCTCGAGCAATTCTCAGTCACCGCCTACTTTGCCGGCCATGATCACACGTTGCAAGTGAGAAAAAATATCTTAATATCTAAAATAGGTCCCGGGTTAAGGTAGCAGGTTAAGGGGTACGGTAGCATCTATCTTTGCGGTTGGGGAGTTACGTTAGCCGGCTAACAAATCTACTACGGCTTGGGGTACGGTCCATCTATCACAGGTTAAGAGGTACGGTAACAATTTATCACGATTTACGAGTTACGGTAACTTATATAATATTACGGCTTACGGGTTACGGTAACCAGGGCTACTGCCAAAACTGCGGAGCTGTTAACTAAAGTAACTTGCTCGTACAGTAATCTGGGCTCATAAGAAATGCCATACTTTCACAAACAAATACCTTAATTACATGTACTTAATTTAGCATCTGGAAGTGCCGACAACGGATCGCCACTCGCACATCACGTACATCGTTTCCGGGGCCGCTTCGAGAACCGATCGATCGACGAAACACAAGAATTCGGTGCCACAGGGATCGATCAAGTTTAAGTAAGCGGTCTAGAACATATCTGACATTGAAGACATGTTTTTATCTGTCAAACTGATAGTATGGTGTGATTTTGGAAGAATAATCTGTTCAAAGAAAGCACTACAGTAAATCGGACAGCTACAATCTGAAGAGAGTAAATGGTATTTACGTTCTCTAAAGCAATGTACAGTCGACTACCGATACAACAATTTTGAAATTCCAAAACACGCCCCTGGTTTCTGCGTAGCTGCTCAGCCTAACGCCATTGTTGGCTGTTCAGGGCAGCTACGAAGAAATTTGGGGCATGTTTTAGAATTGTTAAATCGAGATCCCGAGCGTCCCGGGTCCCGAGCGAATCGTGAAATCGAAAGTTAAATGTGTATGGATATTCAGATATTCAAGATAGTCAATTTTTTAGTTATAAGACCGAAAATTCTTCAAGTTATTCAGTTATCCAAGCGGATGGAATCCTTTCTCGCAACTCGGCTTCTCAAGGGGCGCCCTCATCTATGTTGAGGTGGGTTTGGGATCGTGTAATTGCAAAATGAAACGTCTAGTCCATCAGAAAGGGTGTATTTACACTTTTTCGAGCACCAAGTACACGCTACAGAAAGCTGGTTGATTTAATAAAAATAAGTGAAGCCAAATATTAGGGATTTGTGCAGAGCCAAAAGCTTACTGTTGGTATCGTACTCTGATTCTTATAATAGTAGCTTAAGTATGACCCTGTACAATACAACTGGCAAAATAATATCAAATTTATCATCTAAGACTGGTTAAATCTTCTTTTCAGATAAACAAAGACCGAGCGAAATTCGATTTTCTGAAAGGAAACGGTGAATCGAAGTACACGATGAGCTTGATGTCGAGGAAGAGATCGGTGAAATTGGATGGAGATGAAGAGGCGAGGACTATTGAATTGTAGAGGAAAAAACAAATATTGGGTGCTTTATGCTCATTTGTAAACATATCCTTTCTGGCGCACTGAATTCTTCGTTCTTCTCGTGTTGTTGCGATGAAAATGAAGAATTCAGTGCTTTCAGAAAGGATGCTTTTACAGACTTGAGCACAAAGTACACAAAAGTAGACTTTGGTTTACCATTTCTTGATACGGTTCACTATTTTACTACTTCAAGTACGAAACTTTACACCCTGCAATAGCCATTTTTCGCTTTGTGATCTCAATTCTCATTATCTGTAAATATTAGTAAAAAAATTTTATTAAGAGTCATGGAAAAGCACTCATTTTGGCAAAGTGAAATCACAGGGAGTGCGTGGAGAAATAAAGGGGAAAGAGACTGGCTATCACAGATAAACTGGGCTGAAGTGAGGTGCTTTCTTCAAGGAGCCCTTGGGAAAAGATACCGTATCCCTTTTATGCTACAGTTCACTTACCGTACCCCAAGATCCTACAGTACTCAAAGTCCAACTGTATTCCACCGCAATGCCCCACAGTCCTGCAGTACGCCACCTACTGTACCTTAGAGAGTACCTACAGTACCCCAAAGTCAAGGTGAACAAGAATTAAGGTATCTTTTCCCAAGCGCACCTTTTAGAAAGGAACACAGATTGTCAAGAGGAAACAGAGGGAAAAAGGCAAAGGGCAAAAAACAGGCAAAGGGGAAAAAAAAAAAAAAAAAAAAAAAAAGAAATCAAAAATAAAAAAGGTAAAGCAACGGGGTTATTGGTCAATGTGAAGCACTGTGTTTTGAGAAAAGTTGAAATATTCGATAAAAAAATCTAAAAATTTCAAGATCTACTCGGGAGCTTTTTCGTGACAATGTCGATGGGGCGGATGACGGTCGGCTCACGCCATTGCAGCTGAAAAGGGATTTTGATTGGACAAAAATATTATCTTTAGATAAATGTAGCGCTAATGTAACTGTATACTTAACTTTTTTTTTTTTTTTTTTTTCTTGGGGGGGGGGGGGGTTTTTTTTTTTTTTTTTTTTGGGGGGTTGGGGGGGTTTGCTTTGGGGGTTTTTGTTGGGGGGGGGGGGGGTGGGGGGGTGGGGGGGGGGGGGGGGGGGGGGGGGGGATTACGGTAACCAGATAGCACGCTTTAGAGGTGCTGATGCGATTTCGAAAACGCAAATACCGTGTTCCTATAGTAATTTGGGCTATTAAAAAATACAAAATACAGTACGATCATTATGATTCGTTGAGTTTTCTAAAACATCTATCCATTTTTTTTTGTCTGATTCTATGAGGGTTTACAAGGGATATCGAAAGATTCAAAAAGTGAATGGATTGGATAAAAATAAAAAACAAGATTACGGTAGAAAGAGAAAGGTGACACGTTTTAGAAAGCCCAACAGTCGATGGGAACCCGGATTGAAGCGTTTTCTAAACAGTGCCCTCAGGGAAAGCGACCGTAAGCTTCAAATTCTGTACAACTGATCAGCTTCTAGATATTGTAAGTATTTCACGCTTAATTAGCATAGTACAGAAAATTATCTGCTACCGCACCTGAGACACCTCGAACGGCCAACCCGATCCCCTCTTTGAGGCGGATTTTCGCAAAAAATGTGTCATAGTGAAGTGAGTAGTCGATACCGGCATCGATTGAGACTAAAGAGATAGATAATTGAAATATAGCTAGACTACCGTAGTCCCTGTTAAGACATATTACCGTAACCCCTCCGAGGAGTGAATTTCCAGAAAAAGAAGAGAAAAGCGCCTTGAAATGAAGTCACGGGCTCTATTCCAGGGATTACGGTATTCGGTACGAAAATCGCAGTTTTCCGATTCCGAGATTGTTGCCTACAACACTACAACTTCGAAAAAAGAACTTTAATGTTCGGAAACAGCTTTTCTTCGAGTTTATATTCTAAGGCTTAGGCTTAGGCTTAGGCTTAGGCTTAGGCTTAGGCTTAGGCTTAGGCTTAGGCTTAGGCTTAGGCTTAGGCTTAGGCTTAGGCTTAGGCTTAGGCTTAGGCTTAGGCTTAGGCTTAGGCTTAGGCTTAGGCTTAGGCTTAGGCTTAGGCTTAGGCTTAGGCTTAGGCTTAGGCTTAGGCTTAGGCTTAGGCTTAGGCTTAGGCCTAGGCTTAGGCTTAGGCTTAGGCTTAGGCTTAGGCTTAGGCTTAGGCTTAGGCTTAGGCTTAGGCTTAGGCTTAGGCTTAGGCTTAGGCTTAGGCTTAGGCTTAGGCTTAGGCTTAGGCTTAGGCTTAGGCTTAGGCTTAGGCTTAGGCTTAGGCTTAGGCTTAGGCTTAGGCTTAGGCTTAGGCTTAGGCTTAGGCTTAGGCTTAGGCTTAGGGCTTAGGCTTAGGCTTAGGCTTAGGCTTAGGCTTAGGCTTAGGCTTAGGCTTAGGCTTAGGCTTAGGCTTAGGCTTAGGCTTAGGCTTAGGCTTAGGCTTAGGCTTAGGCTTAGGCTTAGGCTTGGGCTTAGGCTTAGGCTTAGGCTTAGGCTTAGGCTTAGGCTTAGGCTTAGGCTTAGGCTTAGGCTTAGGCTTAGGCTTAGGCTTGGAGGCTTGGAGGCCAGGCTTAGGCTTGGGGCTTAGGCTTAGGCTAGGCTTGGAGGCTTGGGCTTAGGCTTGGGCCAGGCTTGGGCTTGGGCTTGGGCTTAGGCTTGGGCTTAGGCCAGGCCAGGCTTAGGCTTAGGCTAGGCCAGGCCCAGGCTTAGGCTTGGGCTTAGGCTTAGGCTTGGGCTTAGGCCAGGCTTAGGCTTGGGGCTTAGGCTTGGGCTTGGGCTTAGGCTTGGGCTTAGGCTTAGGCTTAGGCTTAGGCTTAGGCTTAGGCTTAGGCTTAGGGCTTTGCCAAGATTGAAAGGAATTCAAAATTTGTATGTTAATTTTTGGAAACTTTTTAATAAGATGGAGATTTTGGGATTTTGGATTTATTTTTTTTGAATATAAACTATAAAAAATTGAAAAAATGTGACGAAAATCCCCAAAGCGATCGAAATTAGCATTTAAGCCAATGCTGATAACAAAATTTATTTATTTTCGAAATTTTCATTCAAAAATTTAGGATTTTGCTTTTTTTGACTTTGACGTTTCGTCTCTTGGGAGATATTTTTGAGTTTTTTTTAACTAAAATTTAGCAAAAAAGCTTTAAGATATTTGGCTAATTGGATGGGATGTTTGTGATCAGATTTTCTAGAGGGAAATGAGAGAATTCGGCTTTTAAACAAATAGAGCATTGTTCTGGAGCGCATGCAATCAGTAGAGCAAGATTTAGACTTCTAACTTGTTGAAGATTTTAATTTTTCCACTTTAACATCGAGTTTGACGCTTTCCAGGATGATGATTTTGTTCGTAAAATCAAAACTCTCAAAGTTATTTTCACTCTTAAAATCCTCAATAAATATTTGTAGAGCTCAGTTGTGAGTCTTTTAAGTCTGTAAGGCTTTAAGAGATCTGGCTAATTGGATGAGAACTTTGTGATCAGATTTTCTAGAGGGAAATGAGAGAATTCGGCTTTTAAATAATTTAACAATTTTAACAATAGCTTTTAAACAATTTAAACAAAGTAGAGCATTGTTCTGGAACGCATTCTATCAATAGAGCAAAATTTTGACTTCTATTTGATGATGATTTTGTTCGTAAAATCAAAACTCTTATCTTATCTTCACTCTTAGTTATCTTCACTCTTAAAATCCTCAATAAATATTTGTATAGCTCAGTTGTGATTCTTTTTTTGAGGTGAAAGATTCTTTGAAATCAGATACATTTCTCAGAGCTATCCAAAAAACAAACAAAAAATCTTTTAACTGAAGAGTTCGTCAAATTTTAAATCCACTATTTTTCATTTTGATGAAATTTGGAAATTCTAGGGCGTAGGCAAACAAATTTGATGCGAAAAATGGAAAAATTTCACATCATTCGAAGTTTTTCGAAGAATAATTCACAATTTTCACGCGCCACGACACTTTTTGACATTTCGCTTTCGGGTTTTGAGTTGAAAGTTGAGAATTTATGGACAACATTGGGAATAGTCAAAAGATATGGTCTTCCGTACTATATAAATCGACTTTAGATCCACCCACAGAAGTTTTAAACAACTTTCCTACTAACTTTTTAAAGCTTTTCAAAGTCGATGGGTTTTAAACGATTTTCCTTTTGGACTTTTCGTGTTTTCAAGCCCAATTCTAAGCCTCTTTCTTGTCAGTTTGAGTTCAAGATCTACCCAGATCTACCTAAATCCCAATTCAATTCTCAGGATTCCCAGTTTTGCCTTTCTAGGCACTCAAACCAGCATCAAACTAATGCAAATAGGTAACAGCTGCCCCAAACTCACTCCAAGTCCATCCCTAGATCTACCCAGATCCAACCCTTATCACATTTAGATCTAATTAGACTCTATGAAAAGCAATTCTACAAAATGAGAAGAAAACTTTACAGAAACACAGCTTTTCTTACACACCCAGCTTTTCTATTGAAATTCTAAGCTACTTTGAGAAGATTATTTGAGATTTCTTATAGTCTAGAAAAGCAGATTAAGCCTAAAATCAGTCACAAGTACCGCTTTTTACACTCAAAACAGCCAATTCTTAGATTATCTAAGATTTCAAGCCTTTTCTAAGTTCCTGTATCTTTTAGTATCACAAAATTGAAAACTTTTCCTTCTCTTTCCAATTCTTTACGAGAAACGGATTACGATTTTCCTCTTGAACTGTTTTTGCATTGAAATTTTTTGTGAAACGTAGAATCCATTTCAGGCAAAAATCGTCAGCACTATTACATTTATAAAAGTTTAAGAATGTAATAATGCTGACGGTTTTTGCCTGAAACGTCGTAGAATCCATTTCAGGCAAAAATCGTTAGCATTATTACATTCTTAAACTTTTATAAATGTCTAGCGTAAGCGGAAAAACTCAAGAATTTATTGCTTTTAACGAAATTTCAAACTTTTCATTAGATAAATCTTCAGTAAAATTTTGCTATGGTTTCCGGGATGAAGCTTTATTGTGTAGCCAAGGAA